ACTTAAACATCTACGGTGACAACGATTTGCACCGATGTACGTATAGTGATAGCCACATGTGCTGTGCCCCGTTCCCGTTTCTCAGAAAGGGGATCACACAAATAACAGCGCGCAGTACTTTTGATTGATGGTACACTTTGAATGCCCATTGTTCGAGAGCAAACGCAGTTGAACAACACGCAAGGCATGACCTTGCTACTCATATTTGTTAACGTTTTTATGCATCCAACATCCTCCAACAGCAATCTGGATCCAGCTGCGTCACACCGTGATGGGCGCCACGTCAAATCGATCATCGACCGGCACTGGCGGTCGGCGGGCAGGGGGTTGGTCGCTGAAATTGTCATTTATTGTCGCGTGCGCTCCGCGGTCACGGGATGGTTGTGTCACATTCGGCGGCCTGTCGATTGGCCTTCGAACTAAAGGGGAGCTGACGGCCGTCCGCCCCACGCGATGTATTGTCTATACATTGGTGCTAGCTGCAGAACCGTCCGCGCTATCCGAACACTCAGCACATGTGTCCGCACGAGATCGAGGCCGATGCCTGGGTTAATAAGGCCTGGGAAAGTCTTAGCTGATGGCCATGTCGGACCAAAAACGTGGTTAAATGTGGGATTCGCATGTGACGTGTCCAAGCGTGTTAGGCGCTTTTGCCTGGCTAATTTTTCGAAGCCACGTCTTGATCCGTGACTGAAGACCTTGCCATCGTAGGTCACTGACCTTCATTGACCTTTACCCCCATTTGTGTGGTAAACCGCTCTCCAGCTGTGTGGCGTGTCAATTTTAGTCATTGTACGTGAGGCTAACATCGGCGCTTCTGTACTTTCGGGCATCATTTACCCAGAAAGGTTATAAGTTACCAACGCTGACTACCCCCTCTCCCAATTTGATGAAACATAAGCTCTACAATCATAATTTGTTCGTTTCATCTGAGCTTTTTTCGGTAGTGTCGCCGCCTCATCTACACGGTACATTTGGCCGCGGAGGTCTTCACGGGCCTACTGACCTAGGATAGCCTTGAGATGCAACAGGTTGACCGAAGTTAAACGCAACAGGTTTATAACTTACCGAACCGTCCAAATGCTGGTGCGTTGACCCGACAGGGCGATTTGTGGGTCGATGTGGAATGAATCAGTGGACCAGCGACATATGACCTAAGCTGACCGTGACGAAAACAAAAAGAGAAAATAACAAAGTTTGTCCAGAATTGAAAAGCTATCTACGGCGTTACATGTGTCCCCCGACGACCCTCAATATTGCAGGGAAGGGGGTACCTGCCACGCCCACTCGTTAGTGGAGAGTTAATTGCGTTCAACGTCAAGAGCTGCAGAGTTTTAAGCTATGGCGATGCTGTGGCTCATGATGTGTTCATTTCGGACTGGCTGTGTTTCAAAACAGTCTAAAAATGTGAAACATTGCCTTTAAACTTCCTACTTCAGCTTCGCCGAATGGGATGTCACTCCCCGATGTTTCTCGTCTGTGTCTGTCTGTTGACCTCACGGAAATACCGCGTACACAGTGGAGCCGAAGTCAACCTCGTTTTCATGACTAGTAAAGGCATCGCAGTATGCGCGTTACTGGCTGACCATGCCCTGTCCTCAGCACTGGTGTCCCTCACTCACCCCCGTACGCTGGCAGCCCCGAGTGTGCTGGCCGGCGCGTCACTGTTTGCAGAGACTGCGTCGCACACCACAATTGACGCAACGCAAACCCATTGCCACGGGAAAGTCTCGTTTGTCGGCATAGTGACCGCGAGGCAACGAACATCGACGTTTGCAGCAGATGTATTTATGCCCGCGAAGTTCCGTAAAAGAGAAATGGTCGCCTAAACGTACGCATAACAGAACACTTCAACAACATAAACCCGACATCTCTCAGGCATGGGACAGTGCTTTGGTTTGCGCGACGGCGAACGTGGCCGTCCAGCCCTCCACACAGCAGCGTAAAACCGACCACAACCAAAATACCCCCCGCCGGGATGCAGCCCGACCATGCCGGGGCCACACAGCCCTCGCATCGACGCCGGTCCCAGTCCTGTTACCATCCCCACCCTTCCCCAAACTAGCGCGGCTAGCAGAACCTGGTGGTTAGCGGCCGCGGCGTCATGAAGAGCTTCAGCGTGTCGTCCGTCACTGCCTTCCTGCGCTCCTGCTGCTCGGCCAGCATCTTCTGCAGCACATCGATCAGCTCCTTCTTGAGGAAGCCGGTGAGGAGCTCGCCCGAGGTGTAGTCGGCGCAGATCTGCTCCAGCCGCGCGTCGTCCTCCAGGAAGAAGGTCAGGTACTGGTAGCTGATGTCGACGGCGCAGTCGCCGCCCAGCCGCCGGTGCTCCTCCACCGTGTCGCGGCCGCCGGAAAACGCGTGCCGGTTCACCTTGGTCTTGATCTGCTTGGGCGTGTCGGTGACGAAGATGGACGTGTTGGGGTCGCTGGCAGACATCTTGGTGGCGGCCCCCTGCAGCGCCGGGAAGAAGCACGAGTGCAGCAGCGCCGGCTTCGGGAAGCCAAGCCGCGGCGCCACGTCACGCGTCATCCGGAAGTACGGGTCCTGGTCGATGGCGCATGGGATCAGGCACGGCACGTCCTTGCGGCCGCCGAAGATGAAGGGGAAGGACGAGCTGAAGCTGGGCGCCGCCTGCACGGCCGGAAACGCGATCTTGCCAATGTGGTCGCTGTCGCCGAAGCCGAAGATACCCTTGATCTGGTTGTAGGTGACGCTGCGCTGGACGCGGCACATGTTGTGGTAGAACTGCGGACACTGCCTGCGGGGAGACGGCGGGAGTGGGTGCTGTGGGCCGGTCTGAACCGCTGTCCGCTGTCAACGGTCATCACTGCACTCCGTAGATCAATCTACTTTAATTGCTGGTCGCTCATGATACGTGAGAGCGGCACAACCACTGCGACATAAGTATGTGTTTAGGAGGCAGATAGTAAAAGTCAATACTGCATTCCTCCCTACCCACTAAAAATTGCAGGAGTCACACAGCTACTCATCAGTCACCAACAGCTGCTACACACCAGATACTCTTTTTGGTGCAGGCAGCGGGTTGTCAGGAGGTTCAAAATTCCATCCCTTCTTGAATCGTTTTCGGTATTACATGAGCATTACGTACCCGATGAAATCCAGGTCAGAAAAGATAAATGTCTTGGCCGGATCAAAGCCGCATGCGATGATATCCTTGGCATTTTCATGCGCCAGTCTGTTCGCCTCTTCCAACGTCAGATCCTTCCACAGGAACTTCTCGTCATCCGTCAACTGGATGACTAGCGGGACATCGAACGTGTCCTGCAGCCACCTGACGAAAACAGACAAATGATCATGTACTTAAATATCATACCTGCAATCCGACAGATGGCATCGATAATACCGATAATCGACAGGTAATTCACCAATGCAGCAGCTAGAACAATATTGCCCTGGGGCGTGGAAATGGGCGGCTCAAAAGCCAAATTGAAATCATATTTTCGTCGATGACGCTTTCAAAGTTCGAATACATGCATGCATAAATTCAGCTTTTTCGTTTCATGATCCAAACCACGGATGTATAAAACGCGCTAAGTTACAGCTTCGTGTGGCGCTATGCAAATACATTACTATCAGCACATGGAGACTTCGTGGAAGCAGAATCATTGAACGGAACGACTTCAGTGTGACAGCTTTATACGACAGTTTAGTTTTCACGGCATTAGGGTGCGCTAGTGGCACGCGTGCGCCGTAACCGCAGCCTTACATAAAGGAAACAGTGCGCGACACAGCCTCCCAGCCCAACAGTGGACGTGTGTGATGTATACCCAGGCGAACAGTGGCGGGACAGGAGAAGATTCCAGTGAAATCGCCAAGCATTTCGGCACTGTCAGGGGTGTATATGTTTTTTCAGATATGCATGCCATAGTATTGAAACAGTGGCGCCATACTGTCCAGACTGATAGTTAACAAGAGAATGCAAGCTGGCCATGGCCGAATGTAAAACCCATTTCAAGAAAAGCCAACCAATGTTATCTACAATGATAGCCGGACGCCCCATATATCTCACGCCGCAATTACAAGCCTGACAGTGCAGTCCGCCAACTGGTCGGGCCGATGCCGGGTGCCTGGTGCCGGGTGCCTGGTGCCGGGTGCCGGGTGCCGGGTGCCGGGTGCCGGGTGCCGGGTGCCGGGTGCCGGGAGCCGGGAGCCGGGAGCCGGGAGCCGGGAGCCGGGAGCCGAGATGCCAGGATACCAGGATACCGGGTGCCGAGAACCGGGAGCCGGATGCCCGTGTGCCGGGATGCCGGGATGCCGGGATGCCGGGATGCCGGGAGCCGGGGTGCCGGTGGGCTCACTTTGTCATGATGAACGGCACGAGGTGCCCGAGGTGCAGCGCCTCGGAGGACGGCCCCCGCCCCGTGTAGAGGAAGAACGGCTTCTTCTCCTCGTACATCGTCAGGATCGAGTGCAGGTCGCGGTGTGAGAAGAAGATGCCGCGCCGCAGGAAGTGGTGCACTGGCCGGCCGGTCACCTTCTCGATGCGATCCAGCAGCTCCGTGTCGATCTTGGACGAGCCGAAACGCTCTGAGGCAGCGTGACGATCGTGTGAACTGCAGCATTCGGGTCAGTGCTCGATATTGCTGGAGGCCCACTGCCATGAAGATGTGTGAATATTGCTACACATTGAACATGCATGCTATACTTACAGTTACACAGCCACACCTGTTGGCGACTCCAGATCAGTGCATGTGTTCTCATAACATTCACACCAACAGGGCAACATCCTAACATATGGAAACATATGATGCACACTGATGCACAGCATTCACTTGTATGAATGCACAACCTTCAAAAATTTTTCAGCATTATGAAAGGTTCACTGAATACACACATAACATATGTTTGATCACCAGCCTAGAAACTGACAACGTCAACATCACCATTTTACATTGCTTACTTATGAGTTTGTTGTAATCTATGCCTGTCTGTGACTGGCTGGATACATTCCATGGATTGACAACATCCCCTGCATCATCATCATTCAAACTCATTTTTTGTTCTTCCAGGGAAGCTCCAGACATCTTCTCATTAACTTCACTGGTCGCACTCATTGTAGCAGGCCTACTGCCATCCAAACTGCAAGCTGAAACAAAACGTGCAAATCAACAAGCTGTACAGATTGTGCAGTTACTACTGCTAGACATCGTATATGTGACTGCAGGCTCATGATAATAAGAACTGAGCTTGAGAGATTGAAGTGGTAAGCTCATGAAGTGACACCAGATTAGAATTAAATCAGAAATGAAGCCTAATGAGAGATCTCCCAAGTGTTTCTTAATATGTCAAATTAGTAGAAGTCATGGAAAGGAATGTTTTGCAAAGAGCCCTCTCTCTCTCTCTCTCCCTCTCCCCCTCTCTCTCTCCCTCTCCCTCTCTCTCTCTCTCTCCCTCTCTCTCTCTCTTTCTCCCCCCTCTCTCTTCTCTTCTCCCCCCTCTCTCTCTCTCTTCCCTCTCTCCTCTCTCTCTCTCTCTCTCTCTCTCTCTCTCTCTCTCTCTCTCTCTATCTCTCTCTCTCTCTCTCTCTCTCTCTCTCTCTCTCTCTCCTCTCTCTCTCTCTCTCTCTTTCTTCCCCCCCCTCTCTCTCTCTTTCTCCCCCCTCTCTCTCTCTTTCTTCCCCCCCCTCTTTCTCTTTCTTCCCCCCTCTCTCTTTTTTCTTCCCCTCTCTCTTTCCCCCCTCTCTCTCTCTCTTTCTTTCCCTCTCTCTCTCTTTCTTTCCCTCTCTCTCTCTTTCTTTCCCTCTCTCTCTCTTTCTTTCCCTCTCCCTCGTTCCCCCCTCTCTCTCTTTCTTCCCCTCCCTCTCTCTCTTTCTTTCCCCCTCCTCTCTCTCTTTCTTTCTCCCCCCTCTCTCTCCCTCTCTCTCTTTCTTCCCCCTCTCTCTCTTTCTTCCCCCCTCTCTCTCTCTTTCTTCCCCCTCTCTCTCTTTCTTCCCCCCTCTCTCTCTCTTTCTCCCCCCCTCTCTCTCTCTTTCTTTCCCCTCTCTCTCTTTCTTTCTCCCCCCTCTCTCTCTCTTTCTTCCCCCCCTCTCTCTCTTTCTTCCCCCCCTCTCTCTCTCTCTCCTCTCTCTTTCTTCCCCCCTCTCACTCTCTCTTCCCCCCTCTCTCTCTCTCTTTCTTCCCCCCCCCCCTCTCTCTCTTTCTTCCCTCTCTCCTCTCTCTCTCTCTCTCTCTCTCTCTCTCTCTCTCTCTCTCTCTCTCTCTCTCTCTTCTCCCCCTTTCTCTCTTTCTTCCCCCCCCTCTCTCTCTCTCTCTCTCTCTCTCTCTTTCTTCCCCCCCCTCTCTCTCTCTCTCTCTCTTTCTTCCCCCCCTTTTCTCTCTTTCTCCCCCCCCCTCCTCTCTCTCTCTCTCTCTCTCTCTCTCTTTCTTCCCCTCCCCTTCTTCCCCCCTCTCTCTCTCTCTCTCTCTCTCTCTCCCTCTCTCTCTTCTTCCCTCTCTCTCTCTCTCTTCCCCCCCCTCTCTCTCTCTTTCCCCCCCCTCTCTCTCTCTTTCTTTCCCCTCTCTCTTTCTTTCTTCCCCCTCTCTCTCTCTCTCTTTCTTTCTTTCCCCTCTCTCTCTCTCTCTCTTTCTTTCCCCTCTCTCTTTCTCTCTCTTTATGTATATAGCCACAGCACATACATGATTTCGAAGCACCTTGCTTCCCTTGGTTGAGGAAGCAAGGTGTTGATGTTCTTCCCCAGATGCTTCAGATACAGCAAAACTCGGCATTAACAGCCTAAACGGGGATCACTGACGGAGAACTCACAAATTCAAATTGGTATTGCAGAACTCCGCACATGTCAAAACAAAACACAAACATGGTCTTGGTCGCACATTTGATCTGCCTGTCTCAAGGACAGCATTGTGTGCGCGGTACTCCAAAATTTAACGCGCCCGCCTGTAACGCACTGAAAATGTGTGAGTATCTGGGCCGCACAAACACTGTCGCTGCTCCCCACGCGCTTTCCTTGTCGGATGTGGCTACCTGCGACTCGTTTTTCTTTCCCGAGGTAAAGTTCAAGCTGCTCGGTCACTGTTGTGATACTACAGATAGTAGCTGACGCGCTTAAAGAACAAAACTTCAAGGGAACATCCCAATGGTGGCAGAAGCACCGGGAGAGGCGTGGTGCCGCACGACGTAACTACTTCAAAAGGGATGGCGGCCAAATTTCAGCCATGATATTTTTATAGACGTGTTTCCGGAACTTTTTGTTCGCACCTCGGAATATCTACCCGCAATTTTTTACCGGTAGAAAAGTTGCTCACCGCTACAGTTAGATATTATTGAGAATATGATAAAATGCCTGTGATAACTTTATCCTTGTTTGTGGCAGTCCATTCTTTGGCAATTTATGTTTATTAGAAGCACACCTTTTGGGCCAAGTCAATAATGTTCATTGGTCATTACCTGGTAATGACCAATGGACATTACTGAAGAACAGAAGAACCAAAACAGAAGACAGTCCTCCCACCCAAACAATAAAAGAATAACTGGACTGCTTTGCTTACAGGTATGCTATTTTATGCATACAGTGTCTTTGTCTGGGTAATGTAACCAACTTATGGTCCGAGCATCATACAAAGCACATGCCTTTCAAATGGATTGAGAGAACCTAAATCTAATTGAGCAGCTTTGCTAATGCCTGATGGTCACCAACAGTCTTGCCAGAGGGTTGCATGCATGACAATTTGCAACCCCTTGGAAATATGAAACCAAGCTGATCAAAGTTTTAATATTCTATTATTTATGTCTTCTAATCTAATCTTCTGTTCAAGCAATACATTTCCATCTGACAACACCTGCCATCATTCACAATAACCCATATTGTGCAACTCTACATGACAAGCAATCAAAATCACTGTAGTATTAACAACTTAACTGCAGGTGAGACATGTGAAGTTGTGCTCATTAAGGATGACTATGCTACAGAGAGAGCTGATGAAACAGCAGAAATAGGAGCAAACAAAAATAAATAGGTAAAAAATTCAGAATTTGTTTCATGTCTAATTCTGTCATGCAACAGATGCCATGAGTCAGGACTAAAAATTTCATTCCTACCTAGCATGAATGAGGATGGACAGGTCAGATTTTGGTGGGTGGTAACTGGCAATACAATTCCTGGTCACTGCTTGCAGCTAAGGTCATGGATGCTATACCAGCAGGACCTAGCACAGAACAAGAATGGATGGTTTGCTATGAATACCAAAAGTCAAAGGTTCCTGATTAAATGGTAAGGAATCATGTCTAATATTTGCACTAAGAGAAGAGAATAATGTGGATGCATGAGTGTGTGCATGCTGATAAGCAAGGGTCTAGGCTATCCACCACCTTGACTTTTCAACCTGTGAAGTCTTTCAACCTGTGAGACTTTCAAACCAGCCTTTTCTTTCAGCTCAAATCTGGGTGCAGGAGCAGCAGTGAGCAGCATATTATGGGTAACAGATGTTTGAGAGGTTCCAGGCTCCAGGAGAAAAACCTATAATGAAGCAACATTGGATAGGATTCCCTGGGCAGGGATACTGCCTAGCTGGTAACTGGCAAAAGAGTGGTAAACCTGGCCTGAGGGGGCTTTGCATCTAGCAAGTGCCACTTCATAAGTAAACTCAAATGCTGTCATACAAGGCATTACATAAATACTTTTAGAAGCTTGAAAAAGTTTATTGGCAGTCAATAACTACCAGAAAAGGCCAAGCCATTGGGCTCTGCAACACACCCAGCTTCTGAAGATACATGACATTGACTGTCTCTTATCCTAGTAGGAATAGAAGTCTGCAGAAAATCTATGAGTCTTAATTATAGCAGTCTGCAAAAAAGCATCCACTGTGCCAGACTTACATAAAATTGGTGATCTGAGCTATGAGCACACATGCACGAAATGCAGACTAGGCCAAATTGAGGTGAGGTGACCATTGTTTTTGCCTGAAATTTCCTTTGCAGTGCCATTATACCTTCAAACATTGCATCAATGCTTGCGGAAACTTATGGTGACCATGCTCCAAACTCTATGCACTTACATTTATGACAAGCATGTGCCAAAATTACTGTTGTGGTCCCCTTGCTATGCTGCACATGTTCAATATGGCATACAGTTGTTTACAGTCAAATGGGTAGATATCACAGACAATGAAGCCCCGTACCTCTCGCTTCCCAGTCATGCAAGTACCTCCAGCCTTTTTTATATTGAAAAGGAAATATTACTGATGGGGCGGTGCCATCAAAATTTGACGACCACGCTGCCGGCCAGTAGAAACCCCGCACACAGCTCAATGACCTGGCGCATCCGCGCAGTCCCCACGCATGTCCAAACGTGTCTTAAGAAAATACACTGATCAGGGCGAAACTTCGTGACAGGGGCGAAGTGGCCTAATTCAGTAATTATCCATAAGTAGCGCCACGAGTCCGGCCCACTCACCACCACGCACCACTCCTCATTAGTCACTTTCGAAAACTTTTTCGTCAGCACTCTGCCAACTGCGGCGCAGCTGTCTAGGCTGCGCAAGGATCCCTTACACCGGACGTGGTCTGCCTTCAGAAACGAGTCAAACTTTGAATACATTTGCTTTTTTTCGTTAAAATACATTTATCATAAATAAGAACGTTCAAAAAAGTTATCATGCAAAATTAAAGCTTAGCTTGAGATATTCAACGACTGATGGAAAAATATGAATCCTTGATAGCGCTGCAATCACTATTATTGCGCCATTGTTACAAATATCGCTTTCGGCAAGAAAACAAAACGCGCTGAGAAGCGTGCGGAGCGTGGGGAGGTGGAGACGCCGCGAGCACGTGGAAATATATCCGCAGCTGTGCAACTACATAGGCGATTACGGTATGCCTCTTATCTTTACGCACGATGTTTTGTGCCAGTCGATGAGCTCATGGGCATATATTCGTGTACTTTGTGATGAACTCCGCACATCAGCACACCAAAAACTTCAGAAGCTTGTGGAGCAGATGTAACAGTATATAACTAGAGTTGCGGCAGATATCGGAAACGAACTATAATTATAACAACTCACATTTGGATCTACCCTCTCTAAGTACTGAAAGTGTTGTAGAGATATGGCAGCCATGTACCAGCCGCTCCATGCAGGGATATATTGAAATCCTGATGACTGTTTCTCCATCCACACTTGGGGGAACTACTGGGAGCATTGCTGCTGGAAGTTCTCCAAAGTGTGAGGATCATTCAGAGTCTGCATATATGCACCCACAGTATACATGCCATCAAAAACCAGAACATTCTTCCCACAGAGGTACTTCTGTATATGTCCCTTAACCTCATCAAGTCCAGACTTGATTGTCACTGGACCCACCGAATGTACCAAATCCCAATCCAAGACTGAGCCCAGTTAGTAACCACATGAGCTTAGCTAGAATGGGATATACAGGCTTTTGAGTTTCTAAAGCCTGACAGGTGTAAGGTAAGGCAAGGGAAGATGAGGTAAGGAAAGCATTTAGTTTTATGAGGAGTGTATCTGAACCACAAAAAATCATTATGATGTATGTCTTAGTTCCTGCGCATGGCTGAGACACAAAGCCTCTATCCCTTACATTATGTTACCTTACCATATGATGAGGTAAGCTTCAAGACAGCTTTCCCACCAGGAGAACCCTTTGGATCCAATGAACATCAGATAACATGCTCATGGGCACTGCCAGGAAATATGCTGGCTAATGAAGAACCCTCTGGCATGCATCCTCTGACCCATAGGAACTGCATAGTTTCAGAGAGGCAAATTTCCTTAAAATTAGATCACTTAATATTGGGCACATGACACCGCATGAAAAGAGTGATCTCAAAAATCAACAGGTACAAAATTACTGCTGTAGCCCATTTCTGTATCACTTTTGGAAAGAAGCACCCCTGTCTGCAGCTCTGGAAAGGTCCTTTGTGGAGCTTCAAACTCTGGCAGGCTTCCATCCTGGTTTGCTTTGATTGGGACAGGCAATTGCATACAGAGTTGCTGTTATATGTTGGGACCCAAAGGAGAGACCTGTGTAGGTTGTGGAAGCATTGATTCAGAGCAGTCAGATTCTTATAGGAGGAGTTCCAGCAAGGGATAGCCCCACTGAGCAACAATGTCAGCCAAGCAGAAGTGAGTGCTGCTGGTGAAGAGAGTGCAGAAGTGTAGGGATGCTGCTGATTTGATTGTGCAGCTTGGCAAGATTTTCAGAACCCCGGTCATACATGGAAGCAGTGCGGATAAGATTATCTTTTCTGGGAAAATATGGGCATTGTTACAGGCAATATCACACAAATCTACCCCTGCAAGCAGCTATAGCACTTGAAGCGAGATCAACAAGACCAAGCCAGGTTGAGTGCGGAGGGCATGCTGGCTTGAAATGGCAGCAGGGAAGTCCCTGGAAATGTGACTGTAACCAGAAAGATCAGCAGCATTGAAACTGACATAGTTGGAAAGGGATGAATGATTGAGTCCTGGTGAACACAGTAATCAGCCACAGAGCTGTGATGTTGGCCATCAGCAAGTGAGTCCTCTGTTAAGTTTTGGAGCAGTCAAAGAAGAGTCCAGAGTCCACATGCCCACTTCCCTGCAGGGTGCACCAGGGATCACACATATCATGTAAGCAACAAGAGATCATGGGGCCAGCATGCAGCTGAAGACAACTCAGAAGGACCCAGCCCTGATGCCACCTGTTGGAAACATAGGGGAGGGTTCTGTTTTAGAAATCAGCTTCCTTGCAACAGCATCATCTGCAAGAGATGTTTTCTGTTCTCTCAGGACAAAGACATTCTGTCCATCAGGAGGACTTCAAACAGATCTAAGAAGACCTCCTTCCTAGTTTAGAGCATCCAGCCCGTCATTCGGACTATGGCGAATGTTTGGAGCTTATCTAGCCTGTGAGCAAACCCTACAGGAAGTGCAAGGAGTCTGTTTATCCTGGTAGCTCAGTTGGTTTGAGCACCTGTCTTTGGGTTCAGCCTTCCTTGACACTGTGGGTTCGTGTCGCTTAAAGCACTCGCTATTTGTCTTTGATAACGATAGCCTGCGGCTGGTGGCGGCGGCCGCGCGAAAGGTCAGATGACGATAGAGGACAGGACAGACTGTGCCGAGGATTGCAGCATGTTGAGCTTAAACAACAAAAGTATGCCATGGATCTGGGATTTCACGATAGAATGGTGAAGTGAGTGCTCAAGCAACAAGAACTGCTTAGCATAGGCTTTGATCCCAGAGATCCATTGAAACAAAATATTCGGACCAAAAAGGAGAATCAGGCCGAGGTACGGAGGGAGTAGCGAGAGGCGAAGGGTAGCTGCTCAGGCTGCTGACGCCTAAGAAGTGCAAGAACACAGTGAGGACTCAAGTATCACAGGATGCCGCGAAACACCAGACGGCGGCAGTGGCGACCGGAACTGAACCGGGCCTGGCTTCAACAGCCGCCGCTGGAAGGGAAAACCGAATGGTTCGCCGCCGACGCCGACGCCGACGGCGACGGCGCTGGTGTCGGTCGTGCTGCCACCAGTCGATCTGCCGTCACCATAGCACGCTGGCGGCCCACGGACGGCCAGGAGGATGGCCCGGATAGGCAGCAGCGGAGACAGCAGCGGTGAAGGCGCGGCCGGTACCGCGGCCCGAGACGCCCGAGACTGCGGTTACAGGGCCACCAGGGACGACAGGACACGGCTGTCTGCGCTAAGCGAGGAACATCTGACTGGCATGCCAATTTCAGATGGTGTCAGGCGTAACGTCTGTACCTATTTTATTTAGTTCGTGTGTTTGCTCTGCTCGCACCAGATAGTTAGCATGTGCCTCCGTCATTGCAAGCCTTCCCCGAGACGGATCAGGAGCTAAGAGGAAACCTTGTTGCAAATGACTGCGGGGGGGGAGGGGGCATCGTCCACCCCACAGGTCAGGTATGTGGGGATCTTTAGGACTTCTGGGAGAGCCCCCGCCGGGGGCCGGTTAGACCATTATGGGCAGTGACGGGCGCTTGCCCAAGGAGTGCTCGGCGCTGGCGGGCAGTGACGGGCGCTCGCCCAAGGAGTGCTCGGCGCTGGCGGGCAGTGACGGGCGCTCGCCCAAGGAGTGCTCGGCGCTGGCAGGCAGTGACGGGCGCTCGCCCAAGGAGTGCTCGGCGCTGGCAGGCAGTGACGGGCCCTCGCCCAAGGAGTGCTCGGCGCTGGCATGAGCCTGGCGGGAGACCTGTTCATAAACGCGAGATGCGTCGGGGTCGGACAGATACAGGGTGTATGGTGTGGGAGGGTTGCATCATTGGTCTGAGTGTGGCCGGCCGAGGCAAAATTGACATTGGTGGCGGTGCGTCAGGTGAGCAATGGTGAATTATCGGCAAGACCTGCGTTGGGATGACTGCTGGTGCCGCCAGTGCTACTCGAGGCACCAGTGTTGTCTGTGTTTGGTGGACATTTTCGACAACTATATTGATCGATTGATTCCGAAACACAATATTGGAACATGCTGTTAGATCACCAAGGATGTCTGTTGCTCATAGCAGGAGGTAAAAAGTCAATTGTCCAAAAAATAGTTTTTGATGCCTAGGAGTTCCTGGATGCATTTTTTCATGCGGCTATTTTCTTGCAGTGCTGCTCTCAGCACAGTAGAAAGTTGGATGGGTTTGCTTTGCTAAGTACCACAAAGGTGTGGAGTATCTTAAATTAACGCAATACCCTGTCATTGAAGCATAGTGCTTTTTTGCTTCACTCACTGCTCCGTCATGTGACAGTGTTTGTCTTAACGTGATTGATTGTGCCATGTCCCCACTGTCATGCGCTCTGTTCTTATCTGCTGAAGCATGATGCATGATTTATTGCTTCTAAATCATTTCAGGCAGCAATGGACCAGGAAGTGTCACCACTGGGGTCCAGTGACCCAAACCTTCAGAATGATGTTCACCATCACGATGAAGAGATGCGGAGCACACGATCAAACTTGGATGACTGGGAGGAGGTACCCACTTAAATATCGGCGTTGTTGAACGTATTATTTGGTTTCTTTCATTGCATTGAGTGGCGCTGGGTTTAAGCAATTCGATTATTAGATTGGCGTAGGCGTCGTCTTTCTGTTGCCGATGTCGCCCACATTGTTGTCCTAATCTTGCAGAGAATACGACTTCAATGACTGCCGTGTGCATATTATCACAGCAGTAATGATAGGAGTTTAACGTCTCACAGACTGTCTGGGCCATTTTGAGACGGATGTTTTGATAAAGTGTCATGGAGATGCGGTTGTGGCGTGGCAAGGGCTCGAGCCGACGCCCAATACACATGGAAAATGGTGCCGAGGCTGACCGGTCAGCTGGGTTTCGAGGCGACAGCTGAGGGGCCCAGGACCGGCGGCTTATCAGCTAGCCACTTTCGTAATTAGGTGATAATCGATGACTAGTGCAGGGCCCCAGACTCGGTTACACTTGCGGGGTTTTTCAGACGGCGGGAATTTTCCAAATTTTTTACCAGACGTTAGGGTAACGAGAAAGTTGCATGGATAGCATCTAGTTACGCAGAAAGTTCGTAAGTTTGTGGAACATGACCGTGAAAAGTCATCGCAATTAAATACTTCCAATCACGACCAAGAACTGATCGCTGCATCAGTTCGCCGCTTTTTGTTTTCCACCAATCTAAAGAGTTTCCCTGTAACATACAGGGATTTTCCGGAAAGATGTGGGATTGCGTAAACGCGTCTTAATCACATGCAGAAGCTTGCATGCGAGTTAGTACCGGGCGCGACGTCGTCTGTCGTGCGCCTGCAGGAGGGGTCGGCGGATGACGCGATGGCGAGCGACCGGGGGGCGGCCGAGCCGCCAGCACCAGCCTCCTGCCAGGCGGCGCTCGTGCCGCCGTCCGGCCTGCTGTCGGCTCCCATCAACGCGCTGCCGATGACGGCGCTGACCCCGGCCTCCGGCGACCCGGCCATCATCCCGCAGATGCAGTGAGTCCCCCGGAGTGAGCGGGTCACGCGGCGCCGAGTGGGCGGGGAGGAGTTCACCGCGCGGGGCAGGCTCTGGCGCTGTTGTCAAAGTAAAAAATGCATATCTGCGAAGATACTGCTTGGCGGCGGTGCGAGACTGTAAAAAGCAATTGAATATGCTATCCTATCGCACAAAGTACCACCGCATGGCTTACATGATTTTATTTTGTAAGGAGCTGAAATCGTACGATTTTCGCTGACGTCGTCGAATCGGTTTGAGTCAAGTCTCGGCTCTCCGACCGCGCCGCGACCCAGAGCCGCGGGTCACTGAGCGGAGCCGCCTCCGCCTTCCCAGGAACGTGGTGTCGACGGTGAACATGCTGTGCGCGCTGGACCTGAAGCAGATCGCCGTGCGCGCGCGCAACGCCGAGTACAACCCGAAGCGGTTCGCTGCCGTGATCATGCGCATCCGGGAGCCGCGCACCACGGCGCTCGTGTTCGCCTCCGGCAAGATGGTGGTGACGGGCGCGCGCAACGAGGACGACTCGCGGCTGGCGGCCAGGAAGTTCGCGCGCATCATCCAGCGGCTGGGCTTTCCGGTGAGCGACTCGGCGGGGCGGCGGGGCGCTGGAGGCGCACTGAGGGGGAGGGGGGGGGTTCAGGCGACCGGTGCAGCCAGAGCAGGGGCGGGCGCAGGGGGTGTCAGGGAGGCGCACGTTGGGCAGCGGGCGCTGCACAGTGGGCGTCAGGGAGGCGCACGTTGCAGCGGGCGCTGGCGGCGCAGTGGGGCGTCAGGGAGGCGCACGTTGGGGCAGCGGGGCGCTGGAGGCACAGTGGGGCGTCAGGGAGGCGCACGTTGGGGCAGCGGGGCGCTGGCGGCGCAGTGGGGCGTCAGGGAGGCGCACGTTGGGGCAGCGGGGCGCTGGAGGCACAGTGGGGCGTCAGGGAGGCGCACGTTGGGGCAGCGGGGCGCTGGCGGCGCAGTGGGGTGTCAGGGAGGCGCACGTTGGGACAGCGGGGCGCTGGAGGCACAGTGGGGTGGGTGTGAAGTGAACAGCGAGTTGGACATCTGGGCGCCGCACACACGGCGAACGGGCTGCTAGGCTGGCCGGCAGAATGCGTAGTAATCTCGGAATGTCATATCCAATAAGTGAGCCTCACGCTTTTCAACACAGTGAAAAGTGATCCAAGTTCGAAAATGGTATGACAGTCGTGTGGTATCGTAATGAGGTATGGTGTAAGTCATTGCAATTCTGGTAAAAATACACTGTGCTCACCAGTATTTGCAGTTCGAAAAAGGCGGCGAAATCCAACTCTTGAACGCAGGGACAAGTAATCGAAGTACACTTTTACCAGGAGGATGGAGAATGATCTTCCTTCACACATCTTCTGCTGATCGCTGGCATTTTGGAAAGCAATCAATGTCCTTGACGAATCAACACCCTGATACTCTGATGACAGTACTGATAAGACGGCACTGTTAATCCCATCCATCGTAGAGTAACCAGGAGAAAGGAGATATATATGTATTGATATCTCGGCTACATGCATGTATCGAAACGAATATGAGTAGTCTACTATATGACTGTGTGACTAACATGCCATAACGGAATATCGTTACAGTCGTTTTGAGGAAGGCATGTATCCGAAATATCAATACGCATATTTGCTTGTGAAGGTCTCCGAAGGTGACATACCTCCTTTGCCTGGAGCCAAGTAATGTCACATCTGTCGTGGATTTCTATTGACATCCTCGTTTCTCTGATGGCCCCAGGCTGGTCGTGCGAGGCCCAGTCAGAAGCAGACTCGTGGTTGGCACCAGGTGGTGTTCGGGTCGATAGCTTATTTTTAAAATGGGTGTAGTCGGAGGCGGTTCACTCACAATTATGGATTGAACTAATCGATGGACATACTCATATAGGATTGTAAATAGCAATGGCTCGTCTTATTCGGACAACCGCTATATTAGCATCAAATGAAACCATGCATAATCAAGTTCGCTTGCTTTATTACAAAACAGATGCTCTCTGTAGGCATTGGTGTTGCCCACAACAGTTTGCCTCCTGACATATTGTAACGGGGCCGACTCCATCAGTGTCGATCCCGGGATTGAGTCAGATTTCCCTCGGTTGGAGTTGAACTTTACTTTAAAATTGCGCCGTACTGCTCGGAGTCTAGAGCATGAGTCAGCCCCATGCTCTGCGTCGGAGCAGGGGTCAATTTTGCTGGGCGAAATCAGGAAGAGATCATGTGAAAGGTAAGGGTGCACCGATTTAACGTAAACTTTTTCTGTAATCCTCAGACGAAATTCGCCAACTTCACTGTGCAGAACATTGTCGGAAGCTGTGATGTCAAGTTCCCGATTCGGCTGGAGGGTCTTCTGCTGACGCACAGCCAATTCAGCAGGTGAGCACCGACCGTCAGAGATGGCCTGATTAGGCGCGCAACGCCGATTTTTCGAGTAATGGTGGATTTAGAAAAAAACTGATTCTACCTAGGAATTTTTCTAGTTTCATTTTTCAAGAATGAACATAAAATGCCGACTCCCACCACGGGAAATCACGAACACCGGAAATCCTGCCAGGTGTGCTGTCTTCCGTCGTAACAGTATGAAGTCAGTTACAGCTGCCATAGACCAAAGGCCGGCTGAGTTTTCAGGGAACAGATAGAAAACTCATGGCAAACAAAGATAGCAAATTTGTTTGGAGAGTGAGTCACAACCCTTTGTATATTTCATTCAAGGGCCATTTGTCTGCAGGCGCAATGCCTTAAGATGCCATGCTATGTTGTCTTCTGACGGCCAAGCACTTGTATTCCCAGATCGACGTAGGTTATAATATTGATGAAGAGTATGTGATTGTGTATGAATCAACTACACGTTTAAGCACATGTATGGTTTGCAGCTACGAACCGGAGCTCTTTCCTGGCCTCATATACCGCATGGTGCAGCCTCGCATCGTTCTGCTCATCTTCGTATCGGGCAAAGTGGTCTTAACAGGTGAGTGCGTAAAGTTTGACACATTTTAACTGACTATGATGCAACGAATCCTCTGAGGAAGAGTTGTGCTCATTGTAAGTGCTGTCTCGCTCTACAGTGACGCAAGGCACGTTTTGGAAGTTGGTGGTGATGACGGCATAGGAAGGGTGTCCTGTGTCATATATGTACTGTAGCATGTCGTGGGGTACCACACTGAACCAAATGATCAGTTATGTCCCATATTGTCCAAACTGACATGATTTTCCGTTCTAATCGTAAGGGTACGCCATCGGGCATAGGCACCAGGGAGTAGTATTCAGAGCTTGCCAAGTCTGACGAGCGCACCGGGAAGCACTTGTCGTAACCCACCGACAAGGCTGAAGTCAGCTGAGGCGTGCTGACATACGCCTCATCGTGTGTCACCCAGGCGCCAAGCTGCGACAGCAGATCTACGACGCCTTCAACAACATATACCCTATACTGCGGAGCTACAAGAAATAGTCGGCGGCGCCTGCTCCGAGCTCGGCCTGCCGACGCCGGGCGGAGCGGACACACAGCAGTGGCGGTTTGCGGTGCACTGTGGTGGCCGGCCAACAGCGACGTCCCGTCTGCTGAGCGCAGAGACAAACAACATGCTGTCATTTCGGGGATCGGACGTGACTCGGGAGGTGTGATGTCGTCGTGGATAGTGGGAGGGCGTTGTGTCAATAGTTGCGTGTGGTGTCCGAAACCTCGGTACCCTTGGTCGCCTCTGTCGGTCCCTGAATGTGGCTAGCGCGTTGAACTGTGCACCGCAAAGTGCGGTGTGTCATGAAGGCTGTGATAACAGGACACCTGGCTTGCCGACATGCATGTAGTTCTGCCTGTGCTCTGACCAAAACAGAGCTCAAGGCTGTTAGGATGCCTAGGAGAGTACTTTACGCACAATGCGATGTAACATGATGTATCACATGTATTATATGATCGGTCTTCTGATATTCAGCGGGCAACGCCGTTTAGAAGCTTTTGTATCTGTGCTCAGAATCATATCACAGTAGGCATTGTTGTAATTGGTCGCCTAGTAAGAGGCGTGATCTGTCGTTTGGTACATTTTTGGACTGAGGGAGCCTACCTGTTTAAACCGCCTGCTGCATTGCCTTGTGTTCTTACATCGGTTCGGATAGGCTTTTTTCTTGAGAGTCTTGGCTAAAGTAAAAGTACTGCGACGGACAGTGCAGGCGGTTGGCGCACCTCCTGCTTCAAGGCCGGTATCGTTTACCTCAGCCAATATGCGTGGCAGCTGATGCATTTGACATTTTCTTAACCGAAGTTTTGGTGCGGCGGTCGCTGGTTATTACGACAATAAAGCACAACCTTTCGTTGCACCTGTCCGTGTCGGGAGGCGAGGTGCTGAACGGTGTGTGGCACAACCGGGATAAGCATATTCTTTAGCGTCCAGTTGTGTGATCAAAATTCGTTGAATTTGTGACGGAATAATCATAGCCAGATGCGGCGCTTTGTTACACAGGACTGATTAGAGAAGTTGTTCCACATTGTCAATATTACCATAAGGTGTGAATGGTGCCGGAAACCACAGCGTAAGGATGTTTCCGTGACCACGATTAGGAAACAAGTTTTAACGGCATGTTTCCTGTTTTGGATAGACTTTGATTATTGCAGAGCAATTTGGAAGCTTTTTCCACGACTAAAGCCAAGGGAATAAAGCTATTTTCCGCCACAAGTGATTAAGACTGCGTTTTACGTGCGAGCGTCGGTACCGAATTTGCCAACCTTAACACCACGTAAAACCCGTGCTCCAATCATACGTGATGTGGCGGCACGCTATTTGTGCCGGGTTGCCGCTACGTGGTTATTTGGTTTAGTATGGATCATAGGTATCATTTACTTGTATAAGGGTGTTCAATAATTTATTTTGACTTATAATGCGGTAGGACTGAAAGTTCTTGGGTGCGCTCCGCTCCCAATGAGGCATTCCGAAGACATGTTGAACTGAATCCACGCTACAGGCTATCCAATCAGAGGAGCGTGCCTTTTCCGCTTTGTTTTGGCACGAATAGGAGGCAAACCGTGGTGATACCTGCAGATGACACAGAGTGAATTCAACGGCCTCCAGTGTATGTGAGATTTGGAGGTTGATTGAAAATGAAGACCCTTGCAATATATATTCAGTATCTGTTCTTCATCTTGTGCATTGGTGCCGAAGATGGACCTTCAAAAGAGCCAGATTTGGGCAGTGAAGCTACTCCTAAGCCACATGATCATGCAAAATTCAGTGGCTTCACTCTGGATGATTCAAGCTGGAAAATTGTTTGGCATGGGAGCACAGACACAGAACTCCTTGTAAGTAACATACAGTTGAAAGAACATGTGAAATGTGTGTTGTAGTGGTGTAATATCATTTGCAGTTAGGATGGGGGAGGGGGGCTGAGCCCCAAAGTGTGGGAAGAAAGTGTCCCAAATATGACAAGAAACATGCTTTTCATATCTTGGGGTAGGGTGGGCTGTTTTCACCATTCACCACTCCTCCCAACTGATTTGCGAAGCTGTGGCACTAGTGTGTTATTTTTGTTCAAATGGATGTAGTATGTTGTTGTGACTGTGCCACCAGGAAGCTGATGGATTTGTTACAAATCAGAATAAGCTTATGGAGTAATAAGATAGTTTTTGCTTATATAATAAGCTCAGTTGTATCATGGCTTATGTGATAAGCTGTGATATTTTGTTCTTGTGATAAGATGTGGTTGATCTGTAGATTTGCATAAAAGCATACCATATCTTTCAGAATGCTCCAAATATGGAATCAATCCTTATGCTTACCAAGGACAATGAGCAGTATAACTGCCAGCTGGAAAATTCAAGGAGATTGACCAAGGTATGTGATGTTGTGCCTGCTGTTAGTTTTTTATTTTTCCATCAGCTGTAAGCAATAGGCTTGTGTGTTGATTGGCTCTGTTGTTTGTTTTCATGATGGTGATCAGTGTGGTCTAGTAGACCTATGGTGATAGTTCTGCTACACAGTCCTTGCTATCAATATCTGGTAATACATCTCCAGGCAAGTTGGAAGCCCAATTTCTGGTCCCTGTATTACATGGCTGAGGCGTGATTATTAGCTAAGTAATATATCACAACGCATTCCAATGTTTGGAATGTAACCACAAAATTTGGCTTACAGGATGAGGATGTTGCCTATGAAGGCCCCAACCCATTGGAGCTGCTGGAGCCACTGTTCAGCAAAATGGCCTGTTCTTATAGGGTAAGGCGGTGTGTGTGCATGCATCTTTAAAGCATGCTTTATCCAGAAAAGCACCTCAGGATTCATACCATGGTTGGTCATGTTGGAATGATGAAAGTAGGTTTTTATCTGTTTATGATAAGATTCAAATTTATTTGAAGCATATGGCTTAGATGACATTTGATTCATGAGTGTTTCACACAAGTGTACAAGTTATCGACATGGTGTGGACAACTTGGATTACCCCTGTATGTCTTCAGACAGTGAAAGTTAGATGATGTGCCTTGTCCTATATCTTCATTACTCTTAGATGCAAACAGCAGTCTGTCAAATAACCATACCCTCAGGCCCACATGTGCAGAACCTGTCCTATCCTGTGCTCTGTGTTACAGGAAGTGATATCACTGGTCTTGGGACCAGTGATCACTCACCAAACAATGTGTGACTGGCAGGTCCTCTGATTGTTATGTCCAAAGAATTTCACATTTCGGTAAAATATGCCTTCTGAATTAGAATAAGCTTCTGCTGCTGTCCACCAGTTTCATGTACTAAATTTCACCTGCTAAATCGACCTGGGAAGGTATGCACATATTACCATGCTTGACATGTATCACATCACTTAAGGCTACATCATGTAATTTATTTGCTATTTGGTTTTCTGAGCTTTCATTCAGCACTCAGTCCTATCCTGGCCAACAGCCTATCAACTGGGAAACACCTGCCCATGAGGTGGGATGCACCCATGCAGACCACTTTGTCTAGCCCTATGTGGGCAGTCATATGCAGGCTTACAGTAGGTACTCATCATTAGTGGACTGGTCCTGAAATGGTGGACCATTGTGGGCAGCCAGTGACTTGCCCACGTCGCGACCCGCACCACACCTTCAGTACTGATGGACGAGCTGCTCGTCAGCAGGCCCAGCGTGGCCTCTGGCGCGTGACATGGCTGCTGCAGGTCGGGCGTGGGTCGGTCCGCAGTCGGCCAACGAGAGGTGGCGTGGAGGGCGTGGAGGTGGCGTGGAGGGTGGAGGTGGCGTGGAGGGCTCAGCACAGCTGAGGTGGTGCAAACTGAACTTCGAGACCGATTTAGCTAGATAATACCGTCGGTCACTTAGTTTGGGTGTCAGGGATTGGAGAGTATGTTTTACCTATCTGAGCACAGAAAGCTCCAAAGCATGCTGCCTTGGAGCAACTGAGCTGCAGCTATGGGCTGTGTTGCACCCCACATTGACTCCTGTCTCAACTCCAAATGCCATGAAGTACTAAAGACAGGTGGTAGAAGCTGCACTGAAGGCTGTGCATGCAAGCATATGCATCCTGCGTTACTCTCAGATTATGAGGTTATGCAAGCTGGCATACTCACCCTGCATTACCCTCAGGTAATCTGAGGACAACCATTGTTCTCAGAATGCATGCAGGTGATTAGCTGGCTCATGCATAGCATGCCATCATGTGAATGCCCTGCCCGCAGTTGGAGTCGTACTGGACATACGAGGTGTGCCATGGGGACTTCGTGCGGCAGTACCACGAGACCAAGGAGGGAAAGCAGACCAAGCTGATCGAGTACTTCCTGGGCCGCTACAGCAAGGACACGCTCAAGTCTCAGAGTAGGTTCTCAGTTAAGAGTGGGCAAGCATCGTGTGATGTGGGTTTTGGGTTGGCTGGCCATCGTTAGTGGACAAAGTGAATTTGCTCTGGGTACACGCATTCACTTAAGTCGTATGACGTAGTGTGATATCAAGGTAGCTGGCCAGCTAGACTTTTAAGCACCCTCTCATAGGGCAGAGATTCCTTGCGCGCTTAACTCATTAGTTGTTCACCGCGAGTTTAGCAGCAGGATGGGTTGCTCTTAACTGTGACAGTGCAAGTGTAACGACAGGGTTGGCTCGTGCTCGCGTCTATTAATAGCTGGCAGCACGCTGGGGTCTCACTTCTGGGGCCAGTGCTGTCGGTCGCCACCCGTGACGCGTCGCTCTCGTGTCGTGACGTGACGGGGAGCCGCTGGTCGTGACGCGTCGCTCTCGTGTTGTCACGTGATGGAGCGCTGGCCGGCCGTGACGCGTCGCCCTCGTGTCGTGACGTGACGAGGAGCCTGCCGGTCGTAACGCGCCGCTCCCGTCGTCAGTCGCCGAGCTGGACGCGGCCATCGCGGCGGGTACGGCCGCTTCCCCGAAGAAGCTGCGGCTGGAGGAGCTGGACCTGCCGTACCTGGAGGTGAGTGGCCGGCATCGGCGGCTGGCGTGCTGCCGTGCTTGCCGGGCCTCTCTGGCACATGACACGTCCCGGGAAGCGGTGCTGCCCCGATTGTTTGCTGGTAAAGATGGGATTCCGGCGTTCTGTGTGAAGCGTCTACCTTGTGTCACATTGTGCTGTGCATTTAGTGGCATTCCCAGCGCGTACGGGTTTGGGAACTGAGGACTGCGCACTGCTTCTCGGCGTTGTTGCCTTCCTTGTAATCTGTATGCTGCACACATTCCTCCTCCTAGTTTTCCCGGTACAAATTTTCCGGGATATTCAGGCCACTGAGATATAGCCTATCCTCGCAGTCAAGGTAGTGTTATAACTTATGAGTTGTTCCTGGTCTGACTGGAATAACTGCTTTACACCACATTCGTGCAGTCAGAGAGAATTTACACTCACACTCATACCTTTGTTTCCTGTCTGGTGCCGGCGATAGGGCCAGCACCAACAATATGTCACAACACAGCTCGCCCCGAGTCAGCCGTTGCATACTATATGGGTGGTGTTTGCATGAAAAGCGTGACCGGTCACGTCGGCTGGCCGTCCGCAGCAGCGGACTCTTGGCAGAGTCCGCCGGAAAGCGGACTAGAACGTCCCGCCATGAGCGGAACCTCAAAATTCCGTGCCTTTTAGCCACCTATTTTAACGCTTCTGCCTTCGTCACTGGAGCTTTACGACGCACTCTGCTGCTGAGGCTATATGACGTCGCCTGTCTCTCACCTTGGCAGGAAGTGCGAGGACCGCGGGAAATCGAACCCCGTGCATATGTGGTTCCATACGCGCAGTGGTTAGCGCAGATGCCTTAACTACTGCGCACTGCGCGTATCGGCACTCTATTACATATCGAGATATCGGCGGTATCGTTATTTGCGAGTGTCGGATCGGGACAGCGTACTGACGCTTGTGCGTGCAGGTGCCGTGTGGGAACAAGGATGACCTGAGTTGTATTGTCGCGTGTGGCGCCTGACCTGCGCACGACCCATGGTGTGGCTGCAGGTGCCGTACCGGGACGGCACGGTGTGCGACCTGACCGGGCGGCCGCGCGAGACGCTGGTGCGCTACGTGTGCCACGCCGGCGGCCGGCACGAGCTGGTCTCCTTCCAGGAGAGCTCCTCCTGTCAGTACGTGATCGTGGTGCTGTCGCCGCTGCTCTGCAGCCACCCAGACTACAGGTCAGTGTGACGGGGCACCACAGGCCGCTGCTCTGCAGCCACCCCGACCACAGGTCAGTGTGACGGTCGGCGCCACGGGCCGCCGCTCGCACCCAGCGCCACGCCTGGGCCGCCGCTGGTGTGTGGGGGTCAAACAGTTCAGCTCTGGTGCGATACGATACATTTGGTGCGCGGTGTGGCGTAACTCGTGTCACGTCAAGTGCAGTATCCAGTCTTGAGTACACTGTTTCATCCAGTGGCATCGTATGAGACCACGGCGTGCGCCCATAAAATCTGCTAAAAAGTATTAAAGGCTGACGATCTGCATGGGTTGTTGGCAGGCACGATCTACGGGGTTACCACTGTAACCAACGAACTTGTAACCAGCATTGTAAACAAAACCCTCGGTTGAAGACACATGTAGTAGGTGTTCAAGCTTGCTGACGTTCATTGCAAAGATATAACTACTGTGCACCGATGTTATAAATCGCAGTTGATCCGCCATACTGCGTAACCACTGTGGTGACCCCGTGTGGTGTGACGCCCCGCTGCCAGTGGTGACCCCGTGTGGTGTGACGCCCCGCTATTAGTGGTGACCTGGTGTGGTGTGGCTGACGCCCCGCTGCCGGTTGTGACCCCGTGTGGTGTGACGCCCCGCTGTCAGTGGTGACCTGATGTGGTGTGACTGACGCCCCTCCGCCAGTTGTGACCCCATGTGGTGTGACGCCCCGCTGTTGTGGTGACTTCGTGTGGTGTGACACGCCCCACTGCCAGTTGTGACCCCGTGTGGTATGACCCCCACTGTCAGTGGTGACTCCGTGTGGTGTGACTTACGCCCCGCTGCCACTGGTGACCCCGTGTGATGTGACACGCCCCTCTGCCAGTGGTGACCCCGTGTGATGTGACTTACGCCTTGCTGTCAGTGGTGACCCCGTGTGGTGTGACGCTCCGCTGCCAGTGGTGACCCCGTGTGGTGTGACTTACGCCTCGCTGCCAGTGGTGACCCCGTGTGGTGTGACGCTCCGCTGCCAGTGGTGACCCCGTGTGGTGTGACTTACGCCTCGCTGCCAGTGGTGACCCCGTGTGGTGTGACCGACTGACTGTTGTTAGTGGTGACTCCGTGTGGTGTTACTGACGCCTCGTTGTTAGTGGTGACTCCATGCGGTGTGGCTGATGCCCCGCTGTCAGCGGTGACGCCGTGTGGTGTGACTGACGCCCCGTTGTTAGTGGTGACCCCGTGCGCTGACGCTCCGTCGCTCCGTGGTCATCACGCCGCCAGCCGTTCGACTGCGTCGATACTGCGCTGCTGCACCTGCCCTCATGTTCCCCGCTCATCACGCCATCCCCTCGCCCCCGTGTGCAGGGTGACGGCCGACGTGGAGAACAGCATCCACTGCATCGCGCTCTCCAACTCGCCGAAGCGGCCGCGCTCACTGCTGGAGCTGGAGTCGGAGAGCCTGGCGCTGCGCCACCACCTGATGGCGCCGCCCGACGGCGAGCGCCAGCCGGGAGGCCGGGCCGAGCCGCGCCCCGACGCGCCAGCTCCGGCTCCGGCTCCGGCTCCGGCCGAGGAGCCCGCCGCCGCCGCCGAGTCCAAGGCCTCGCCCGTCTACGACGAGAAGCTGGTCAACGATTTTCTGGCCGGCAGGCACTGCCTGAACGGGGTGAGTGGAACAGGGACGGTTTGAGATCGGATCGTGTGATGTGTTTGTGAAGTGGTTTGCATTTGTGTGACCCAGATATGTTTTTTCCTGTAAAATTGGGGGGGGGGGGCGGGCAGGTTCCAGTCTACTCTTAGTTTGTTTTTAGAATACGTGGGGAAATGCGAATGGAAACTTGCTTGGTGGCGCATTGTGGGAGCAGGCTTCATCATTTTATTCCCTCCCCCCCCCCGCACACACCTATCCCGCAGAACTACGCCCGACGATGTGACTAAATGGCCACGTTTGTGGTAATATTTCACGTCTATTACTTGCATTCCGAATTTGGTACTACAGTGCTTTCATCACGTTTTATGTTGCGTCAGAGATGGGGCGGGTGTTTCTTAGGGAAGACTTCTTTTTACATGTTGTGTCGAGACAGAAACGGTTGCCACCAGATTTGGACCAGGTGGTGGACAGCCTTCGGATATACTCGTGTTAGCAAGGTCCATTCGGACATTTCCTTTCCTGAGATCCCCCGGCCGGTCGTGTCTTATGTGGTGAGACTCACATAAACCCCAGGAACTGAGCGGTTGCAAACGCCGTTAACGAGTGCAGTAGAGTCTGGCCTGCGTTGTTTCCCTCAACGTGAGCCCTGAACGCGGCGGCGGTGCCATGCCCTGCACAGAATCTCAAGCCAGATCTTCACTGTGTGGGCAGCCGCGGGCCTCCCGTGCTGTTCGCTGTCCGATGTCGGCATCCTTGCCACCCTGACCCCATTGGGCGCGCGGGCAGGGCTCCGGCTGGTGGCGGTACGAGTTCTGCTACGGCAAGCGGGTGGACCAGTATCACGTGAACCGGGACGGCTCGCGCACCACCCTCCACCTGGGCTTCTTCAGCCACGACGTGCACCGCCAGTGGCTACGCGCCAACCCACTGAAGCGGCCCAAGCCGGTGCCGGCGCGCCGCCACGTGTCGCACTTCTACTCGGGCGGCACCATGTGCGACGAGTCGGGCGCGCCGCGCTCCGTCGAGGTCAAGTTGAAGTGCAAGCTCTCGGACAGCCCGAACGCCGTGTCGCTGTACCTGCTGGAGCCGCGCACGTGCGAGTACATCCTGGGCGTCGAGTCGCCCATCATCTGCGGGCTGATCGACTCGGCCGACGAGGACGGACTGCTGGACCGGTAGGGGCGCGCCTGCCGGTGGACGCGGTGCGATGGCGGGTGGGACCGGTGGAGGCCGGTGGACCGGTGGAGGGGTTCGGTTGGCTGCCGGAAGGACGGGTAGAGACCGGTGAAGACCGGGGGACGGGTGGAGGAGGGTTCAGTGAGCTGCCGGGAGGACGGATAGAGACCGTGGGGCCGCACAGAGTACGGCGGAGCTGACTGGCGGATGGGTCATTGGAGATGTCTCGTGGGGCGGAGCGTGTCCCCTTGTGCCCTGGTAATGACTCATGAACCCTGCGGTCCAAGAGCGTGGCCTGGCTACACGGCTGCTGGTTTGGTGGCCCGGGCTGAACGATGTGGTAGGCGTCCGGTGGAGCGGGCCCAGAACGGCCAGCGGGCCGCCAGCGGACCGACCACTGCCGTGTGCATAACCGAGCCTTGGGGTGGGGACGGGTGACGGGCCTGGCCGTGGCCAGTATTGTGTGGCGCAGCGTGCGGTGTAGTGGAGAATGCCAACGCTTGTGACACCGCTCCCGTTGGTGAGCTGCTGTTAACGAGGGCGGCGTTTATACCACGGTTAGCTGGCACTAGAACCGCTGGGAGCATTCATATCCAGCCTATCGGCGATGTGGCCAGCAGTGACCAGTGGCGGAATCAAACACATCAGTAGATAGTCGAGGACGGCGTATGTTTTAACAGGTTGAATTAGGTCGTAGACTGATTTCCCTCTGCTCATCAAAAGTTGGTCGTGTCTGCCGTAGCATGTGTGTGATTATCCCACATTGTGATATGTTGTTGTTCCGTTACGTGCACACGGATCATATCAACACCAATACAAAGTTTTGAAAGGAGTGGTACGCATTCCATTGTGGTTTGAAAGGAGTGGTACGCATTCCATCGTGCACAAGAGCGCCAGTGCTATGCTGGGTTCAAACAGGCGGAGTGCTATGCTGGGTTCAAAGAAGCGGTCTTCGCTGTAGCCTAACGCGACCACGTCGCTGAATATGGCGACATCTGAAAGTGTGCTTATGGACTGGGACGGACCGTGTGATGCTTACCGCCCCAGGTGGCTCAGTCAGGTAAGGTCGTGTTTTCGCGCCGGCTGAATGTGGTGCGCCACGTTACGCCCAACCGTGCCTGGGCATGCACGTGGAACCTGTGAAATTGAACGCGTGAACGTTTGCAGGCGCATGACAGGTGACAGGTGTCAACCAAACTATTTGCAGCGCTAGTCGGTAATGAACGTCTGGAAATTCTCGGACGCCGTCCACTGCCACCGCGTTTGCTCTTGCATCTCGTCATTGGCGATAGAAGGTCTTTGACTGGCACGGGACTCTCCAGCCCTGTTTGAAACAGCTGCCTTTCACCTGAGCGTCCGCACAAGACGTCGGCGGCGTGATGGAAGCGTTAAATTAGCTTCACCTTTGGAATGGACAGCGCTATTTACCAGTGGCGCCGGTAGTGTAGTGGTTGACGCGTCTGCGTTAACCACTGCGCGCCTGGGAAACCAGAGGTATGGGGTTCGATTCTCCGCGTTGCCCGCCCTTCCTGCCAGGGTGAGACGCAGGCGACGCCATGTGGCCTCAGTAGCTGAATGCGTCGTAGAGCCCCAATGACACACAGCTGCGATTTACCACCCAGTAAGCGTTGGAGCCGGTTGCTCATCGCAACAGCGCAGTGGCGCCTCCCGGCGGGAGAGCTTTCAACGAGCCGACAGAGTAACGGGCAACTGAATCCCGGCGCGAGTTCGAAATCACCAAAAGAGCGTGCGGGCAGGCCGCCCTCAATGCCACTCCTATGGAGTCGTTCCCAGTTTTGCATTATGAATCGGGGGCTCATCGCAACTGATGTAGAGCAGCGCAGTACTGTTGGTCGATTCGTTTTGTTTTCGGACTTCAATGCATCTCTTACAACTCCTGATACGATTGCTTTGGAGTCGTTCCGGCGGCATTTTGGAGGGACAGAAGTCCATAATAAGCTCTAGCGGGCATGTAAGTCCAAATACGGCATATTTTGATGACAGCATCAGAGGTATTTTGTGACACTTCTTGCGGTCCCAAGCTGTAATAACGGTAGCATAAATTACAGCAAATGTCAGTCAATGTTGATGCTGACTGAATTATTAGCGTGACTGACGCATTGCGATTTGCCAGAGATATTGATCCCGCCCTGACCAGACCAGTCCCCTTGATCCGGACTTGATCCCGATCCCCTTGATCCCTGACGCCGGACGATGCCGCGCTCGCCCGCGGCATCGCCGAAGTCTCGATAACGCCTAGACAAGAATCCGAACACTACCGATTGTAGTCAGCAGGAGAGCGCTACGGACCGATTGTGGCCTGCAGGAGAGCGCTACGGGCTGATTGTGGTCTGCAGGGGAGTGTACGGACTGATTGTAGTCAGAAGGAGAGTGCTACGGACCGATTGTAGTCTGCGGAGTGCTACGGACCGATTGTAGTCTGCAGGCTACGGACCGATTGTAGTCTGCAGGAGAGCGCTACTGACCGATTGTAGTCAGCAGGAGCGTGCTTTGAACCGATTGTAGTGTGCGGGAGAGTGGTACGAACTTCGTTTTGTTCTGAGTCAGAAATTGGCAAGACTGCGTTATACTCCTGGATCAAGGCTGCTTCCCGAAATGTGAAGCGACGACTTGCAGCCAAATAATATTCGCTAGGTTTCAAAGCCACAGGAATGCATCGGATAATTTATTTCACCAATTACAGCTATCACTTTCATAAAAATAACATTGCGAGCACCATATAGTCAACAGCGTATTATTCCGCGAAGACATACATATAAAGCATTCTCATCGCACGTAATTCCCGGGCAAGCGACGCCAGATGCGCCGCCCGCTGCCGCCCGCTCTGGCGCTGTCGTCGGCGCGGCCCAGATGCGCCTGTCACGGCTCGGCAGGTCGCGGCACGTCTGTCTGCTCCGCGCCGCCGCCGTCTCCGATGATGGCGCGCAGGACACTGCTGCTGCTGGCGGCCGGCTCGGCCGGCTGCTGCTCCGACAGCGACAGCAGCAGGTTGGACGAGGTCGAGCTTTGCCGCGAGTGGCTCGGCGGCGGCGTGGTGCGCGCCGCGGTCGCCGGTATCGGCGACGCCTGCGGGCCGGGGGCAAGGAAGCGTCACGCGCATGCGCGTACTCACAGCACAGCCGAATGCACGCCAGCAGCGTCCGAACACCGCGTAGTGGCAATCTATCTGACGTGAAATCACACGAGTTAGATCTCGCTAGTCCCCCACCTTCCTCTCCCCAGGTACGGTGGAATCTGCGCCGCTCACCCGGGCCGATCCTCCTCCCCGCCCCCCGGGCATGGTGTGGCCGGTGCCGCTCACCTGGGAGCGGTGCGTGCGCGCCTCCGTGCGCCGGACCGCCTCCTGCGCCATCTTCTCCGCGGGCAGCGTGGCCGGCCGGCGCGGCGTCGACTCGGCCTCCAGGAAGCGTACGAACGCCTGGCTGAGCGACGCGCCGGCCGGGCCGGGGCCGGGCGCGCTCGGCGCCGGGTCGAGCCGCGCGCGCGCGCGCTCCTCGCGCGAGAAGTCGAGCACGGTGGCGATGACGCGCAGCACCTCGCGCTCGTGGCCGGCCGGCGCCGCTACGTACCCCACCACCAGGTTCTTGACCAGCGACCTGCGGCGGCGGCGGTGCGGAGGTCAAATCAGGGATCAGACGCCGAGGACACGGTCGACAGCGCACGCCCCCACCCGAGCAGGACACGGGGCGCCGACCAGGCCGCCGCGATGGCAGCAGACGGGCCGCCACAGGGGGCGGCCGGCCAGTTGGAGCTGCAGGGGCATGACAAGCGCCGGACAGCTCCGCAGAATGGCGGACGGCACACAAAGGCTCGCAGCTGCAACTGCGAGCACGGCGAGAAAAACCAGAACTGACGGCAGATTCAGGAGCCCTAAATGGGCCAACCTTTCAAATGTCCCACAACGAAACCACTGGCTGCGAACGGAACGCCGACCGGCCTGGTCATTACTTGTCAACTTTTCCGGACGTGTTGCCCTTGAGCTCCTCCATCTCTGCCTGCAGACGAACCATGGCGTCCACCTTGGCTTCCACTGGAATAGGGCCCGGAGCTGGCGTCAGACGGCAGCGGGCGCACACACCAACCCCTCCCCGACCCGCCCACAGCCGGCGCCGGAGCTGGCGCCAGACGGTGGCGGGCGCACACACTAACCCCTCTCCCACCCACAGCCGGCGCCGGAGCTGGCGCCACGCGGCAGCCGGCGCAAACAACAAACCCCCACAGCCGGTGCCCGTGTAGCACGGCTGTACATGGGTAACACAAACCACGTTAAAAGCGCTTCGAACTTACATCTCTTTGGAAGAACAATGATTCACATCGTGCGCAATCGCAATGTTTCACAATTACTTTGGTTACTTGCAGTATGAATAACAATGACAAATCAATACTTGCTAAGCAATGTTGGATGCACTGCGTGACTTAAGCTACCTTCACCTACCTCGAACAGCCATACAGTTTTGTTGCTTTCGTTACTAGCGTAAGCAGCAGTTTCAGTGATTGTCCGAAGCCCATTCTCGCGCGCTGTCCGCTGTCACTCTTTTATGGGCCGCAGCAAACCCTACTCCTTTTCATATAACCAAGCAGACATCCGCTAACGTACGTGTCATCCCCGGAACAGGCGGGATATTGTTGCATGAGTAATGTGGCTTAAATCATGAGGACAATGTCAACAGTGAGCTTACAAAGCAGCTAGACACAACGACGACAGAATGAACAGTAATCGCGTACGCCTTACATTAAGGCAGACGACAAAACGTCACTCGCAAAATATGGCAGCACATGCCAAACAATTAACACCCTTAACATAAAATATAACAGCGCATGCCGAACAATTAATACAATCAACGCAACATCACAGCACATGCCAAACCATTAACATACGCGAACACTGATGCGGCTACTAGTCAAATTACACAGTATCACGAAATGGCAGAACCCAAAATAAGAGGGCGGGCGGGGCGTGGCACAGCCCGGCTGGCTGAGCTGTTCGACCATGCGAGCCGCGGCGGGCGGACTCTCGGATGCGCAGACGCAGCCGACGACCGTCGCAGAGTCCGAGCATTGCTTCGACACTGAGATCGAGTCATCCAGTACCTGAAGTAATACTCAGATCTACGCAGTCCGGGGCGGGCAGCCGGCCCCCATGCCAGGCCGTGCGTCGTCGCCGGACGGCGTGCAGATGCGGCGCGTTCGCTCGCGGGGCGCGCCATTCACACCCGCGTACGCGCGGCGCGCGCTCCGAGCGTGCCAACGGCCGACTACGAGCAGACGGCGCCATTCGGGTGCGACTGACAATGAGCGCATGCTGACGCCTACGATATCGAAATAAACCGGGCGAGTGTACCGGCGTCGTGCTGGGCGTGAGGTCGCCGATCGCCAGGGGCACGAGAGGGGGAGGGGGGGGGGGGGTAGTTAGTCACATGAAGTGCTTTACCGGGGGTGTGACCTCTTGGACAGGCCAGGGGCATGCATGTCAGTGAGTTACGGGATGACGAGCGGTGGTTACTACGAGACACATACACTGTACACAAAGCACGAATAGCAGTGGTAAGAGCGGGCTATACACAGACAAACGTGCTCAAAACAGTTGGGACACCGAGCGAGTTCCTTGTTTGACCCCTCTCGGAAACCAGTCTGGACGGCAGATGAACCGCCTGATATCGTTTACGTTAGTTCAGAGGCTGACCGAGTCCACGGTGCTCCACAGCCACCACGTGAGAACTGCGACTTGGTTCACCAACACGTCACTGACTTCCCTTCACCAAAAGCATCGTAGCTTACAACTGAACAAAGCGCGCTGGCCGCTTTTTGCACGCACCAGAGGCCAGGACCACGGCCTGAGCAGCGGTCTGCGATGTGTGCAGCCGCCGGATTGCGAAGCCAGCGACCGATTCATATGTACAGAGACAGAGACAACGCCTGGGCCGTCGCATGGCAACGGACGGCGCGGACCGGACCGGACAGCTGTCCGCCGCCGCGCCGCGCCGGACAGTCGCGGCGGGTGGCCACAGAGAGCGAGAGCGAGGAGCGCCGGCGGTAGCGGCGGCAGCAGCAGTGGCGGCGGTGGCGGCGGCGACGGCCGGACGGACGGACAGCGCAGAGCGAGCGGGCCGGGCCCGAGACGCACCCCACACGGTCCGCCGAGTCGGCATCGCTCAGCGTTACCATGTGAGATTAGCCCCGCGCCGGCACGGTCCGTGGCGCGTGCAGCAGCGGCGGCGGCGGCGCGCGGACACGGACACGGGTGCAGCGGTGGCGGGCGACGGGCGCTGCGTCGGCGACACATGCGGCCGTACGCAGACCGGGGGGGGGGGGGGGGGGGGAGTGTGGCACGTGACCGGGCCGCCGGAGCCAGCCCGGACATAAACCGGGGCCGACTCATCCCGACAGCGGGTGGGAAGGGGCCGACTGGACGACACTGATAACCAGGTCACTAAAGAAATGCGAATTAGAAATGTGCATCAGCTAAATCCGGCCAGAGAACCGATCTATTGGCGAACTTTCACAATCACGGCCAATAGTTTAACACTGTCTTGAACGACAATAAATCCTAGTTTTTGCATCTCAAAAAGAGAAAGCAAGGATCATGATGTTTGTTGGTCCACAGGCGTTTCCCTGAGAGGCCAATTCGTACCCGGACCCGCAGCCACCACGGCCGTCTCAGGGATATGAAGTATACCGCGCCTCTTGCCGACACCAGGAAAAGACCACATCACTCAGCACGCGGCCCAAGACCATGCACGCATGCAGGCAAGCAGGCAACTACAGCAGGGAGGGCGCAGCGGCGCGGCCTCGGCCTCCATCCGTGCAGCAGCGGCCGGAGCGGGGCAGCGCAGGAGGCGGTCACGGCGGGATGGCGGCGCTCGGAGGGCACGTAAGCGGAGCGGTGGCCAGAGGGGGTGCCACGGCAGGCCTGGACACCCGACTGACGGGGCTATCGCTGCTCGGACGCTAAGGGTCGGTGGCGAGCGGTGAGCTTCGCCGCCTTGAGAGCGCGCAGCTGACACCGACGCTCCTGCGTGATGAAACAACGGAGGTTGCGCGCAAGGCTCATTTCTCGGGCCTCCGTGCACAAAGCAGGAACGAGATATTAAGCCAAGCATGAGGCGATGTAGATCACACTAAAGCCAAATGTCGTATGACAGCAAGCGTTCGGTAACTAACTCGGAGACCAACTGCAGGCGATCTGCTGAGCCCCAGGTGAGGTGAGGTCGGGTCAGGTGACATGCCGGCACCCAGCTCGGGTTGCACATATACCAGTCAGGTACCTGGGCTTAGTCAAGTCATCCCAGAATTACCTGCTGATATTTGTACACGCCCAGCGGACAGCAGCGCCTCTGGTGGAGACGTCCCGAACTGGCCGTCGCAGCTGCCAGCCGCGCCGAAGCCCCGCCACGGAGCTGGTCGCTCATGCCCGCGCACACCCGAGCTCGCGCCACACCACGGCCCGGCGCATCACTCGAGCGACGGCCGGCGGCGCCGCGCGCGCCCCGCCATCGTACGGACGGGCAGGTGTCCGCCGCTGCCCTCGCATAAGCCGAGCCCAAACACGCACACACACGCACCAGCGCGGCGCGGCCGACAGGGTCGGCCGTGCGGGAGCAGCACGCCCCACGGGTGGCGGGCCAGGTCACTGGGTCACAACCCACCACACCCGCAGGAGGTGGTGGGTCACGACCCACCACACCCGCAGGAGATGGTCGGTCACGACCAACTACACCCGCAGCAGATGGTGGGTCACGACCCACCACTAACGCAGGAGATGGCGGGCCAAGGCCCACTACACCCGTACCAGACGCGCCGGTTTATGAACCGCCACAATGCAACGGAATAATTCATGACCCACTACAGCTAATGTAGGGTACATAAATTTATCAACTGCTGTGCCAATGCAGGGTATGGAGATTTATGAACACCGAACCAATGCAGAGAAGTCATCACTGACCTGCCCCAGAAATGCTGGGCCCAGTGCTGCAATGCGTGGCAGTGATTCATGACCCCAAAGGACAATGCAGGGTGCAGCAGGTCATGGCCCAGCACAGCACCGCAGCGTGCCGCGGGACACGGCCGACGGCCTCCCCGGCCACCTACCGTCCGCCTTCAGAGCCACTATCAGCTCCTCCTTGCGATCTAGCTGCTCGTTGAGCCGGTTCGCTGCGGCCAGACCCTCGCTGGCTTCCTTCAGTTGGGTCTGAAGACGGAGCGCGGCTATCAACAACGACGCACCGAGACAGACAACACAAGCCAGCAACCACAACGACGCGAGTCTCCGCCGGAAATTAACACCATAACAGCCATTCATTACGGAACACCTGGACCCCTAGTGCTTCCTCGTAAGCACACCGATCCAGGGGCTGCCCCCGACAGCATATGGGGACGCCATGGTGCGGGCAACTGACGGCTGGGAGGGCCCACATGGTGGGCGAATGCCGGCGCGCGGTGTATACGGGCCTTGAGCGCGTCCACGTGCTGTGTCAGTTGCGCCGTCTCCCCGCTGGGCGGCGCTGGTGGCCATCTCGATCTCTCGCCGCTTGTCGCGCTGGAACTGCTCCAGCACACGCTGCAGGTTCGTCAGCGAGTGTGTGACGTCATCCAGCTGCAGAGTGACGTCATCACGCTGGTGGGAAACCACCGTCAGCTGCTCCTGGAGTGACTCGATCTGCTGCGAGGCAGCCTCACTGGAAGAAGGGCATCCCTCCAATCAGCAGGGCTTCCGAAATGAATCTAAGCACTGCAGTGCGGGGCTTTAATGGTGGTGTACGCGAAGTGAAGCCACAGGAATCACAACGAAGCATGCCACACAACCGAGTGTCACACAAGCAACGACGACAGCTGCACCGTCAGAGAGTGGCCCCGTGCAGAGCTGGCCGGCGGGCCTGCGCACCGGCGGGGAGAGCCGGTACCTCTCCGCCGTCAGGTGCAGCTCGCTGCTGAGTCGCTCGCGCAGCGCCGCCGCGCGCTGCTCGGCGTTCAGCGCATCCTGCGTGTAGTTCTCCTCGATGGCCACCAGGTGGTCGCGCAGTCGGCGCAGCTCGACCTGCAGCCGCCGCTCGGTCTCCTCCTGCTGCGCCGCCTGCGGGGCGCGCCGCTGAGAGTCAACAGGTGCGCCGACTGGGTGCGGCTGGAGGACAGCCGCGTCCGTTGGCCCAGTCACGGCTGGCACGCGCCAGCAACGTACTGAGTCATGTGAACACCATCGGCAGACTCGGCAGATAGCCATAATCATACTCTACAGGAAAACGGCACAGATCCAGGTTAATTGAGTTACCTGCACGGTGAATTGACAACGGGCGCGAAATACTTCCTGAGCGTTAGAGCTCACTGCTGCCAAAGCAACTGCAATCAACGCTAACCACAATTAAAGGGCTAATATGAACTATAAGCGCTCCAACTTCGAGCTGTGCCAGCCCGCATTCAAACCAGCATCCATCCCCACGCACCTGCTGCCGCAGATCCTGGATGGCCGCGTTACGCTCCTGCAACTCGATGAGCAGCTGGTCCTGCGCCGGCCGCAGCTGCGAGGCCTGCGCCAGCGCCTCGTCGCGAGCGCGGCGCGTCTGCGCCAGCTCGGAGGCCACCAGCTGCAGCTGGGCGGTCAGCTGGTCGTGCTGCTCAGCGCTGTCCCGCAGCTCGGCGGCGCGCGCCTGCTCGGCGCCGGCCTGCGCCGCCTGCAGCCGCTGGATCTCAGCGTGGTACTGCAGGCTCTCGGCGTGCTTCTGGCTGAGCGCCGCGATCAGCTGGTGCCGCTCGGTGAGCCACACGTCTCGCTCGGCGGCCAGCTGGCGACGCGCCTCTGCCTGCTCGTCCAGCTGGCGGCGCAGCTCGTCGGCCGACTCCAGCAGGCTCGAGAGGCGGCCGGGGTCCGGCGACGCCTCCGCCTCCGCCTCCACCTCGTCCACCTCCTTGGTATCCACGTCTTGGCGCTCCTTGTCCGACGCGTCTGCCGGCGCCTCAGTGGTTCCAGCTTGAGAAACCTCCGCTTTGGTGATGAGATCCGCCTGCTCCGACGACTGCCTGCAGGTCTCCAGTTCGGCCTCCAGCTGGCGACATTTCTCCTGCGAAGTGAGCAGCTCCCCCTTGTGCTCCGACAGCTCTTGGTGCACACTCTCGAACTGGCGTATCACTTCTGAGTTCTTGGACTTCTCTTCTTCGATCTGCAATATGAGCTTCTCCATCCGCCTATCCGACTCTTGGATGGACATATTTAGTTTGTCCTTTTCTGACAATGCGTTGTCATGTTGTTCTTGCATCTCTTTCTCCATAATGCTTACTCTACTTGACAAAGTTTCCCTTTCCAGACGGACCGCCGCGAGCTCGGCGTGCAGTTTTGAAAGTTCTACAATTTCCTCAGCACATTCTGCCGCTTTCTTTTCCTCATTCCTGAGCCTGACTCTCAGCTCCGCAAGTTCGGCGTCTTGTATCTGCAGTTTGATGTCTAGCTCCTCCTTCTCGTACCGCAGCTGCTCTTCCTGTTCGTTGCGGCCGTCAGCCGCGTCCAGCTGCTCCTGCAGCATCAGCGCCCGCTGCGCCGCCTCGTCGCGCTCCAGCCGCGTCTCCTCCAGCTGCCTGGTGAGCAGGTGCCTGTCGGCCGCCAGCCGGTCCAGCTCCGGGTCGGGCTCGCGGCTCCTAGCGTCGGCGCTGTCCGGCGCCGGGTCGGGCGTCTGGCGGAGTCGCGTTACCTCCTCCTCCAGCTCGGCCACGCGCTCGGCGTCCCTCGCTGATCGTCTCCAGTTTGTCCGACGAGCCGGAGCACAGCAGCTGCTCCTGCTCCAGCTCCTGGAGCCGCTCCTGCAGCTGGACCCGGCCGCGCCGCTCCTGCTCCAGCTGGCGGCCCGTCTCCTGCAGGCTCCACTGTAGCTCCTTCAGACTCGTCTCCAACGAGTCGAGCAGCGCAGCCGTGCACGAGTGGACGCGTATATCTCCTCAGAGTTGAACAGCGTCATTATTTCGAGCAGGCGAATGGCAATTTGCCGGTTCTCGGCGGCAACGGGCTCCGCCGTGTCCAGCTGCGCATCCTGCTCGTCCCTCTCCGACTCCAGAGACTCCACTCGCTCGGTCAGACCTTTGACCGTGTCCTGCAGCGTGTCGTTCAGCGACCGAAGCTCCGAGCAGCGCTCGCTGGCTTCGGCTGCGCGCCTCTGTTCCGCCTCGAGCTGTGTCTGCAGATTCTGGAGAGAGGTGATCGCGGTCTCGTTACCCGAGAAATGCTGGCCGTTTTCCGTCTGTCCTTCGACGGCCGAAAAGTGGTGATCAGCAGTATTTAGGTCAGCAGTTTTTATTCGGGACAGTTTCGGCTTCCAGTTCCAAGTTCATTGCTTCAAGTCCACGATCCGACTAAGCAACGCTTCCTGGCCGCCATGCGAGGAATCGTTCATTGTCTGGGACTGTTCTGAGGGCGCTGCGCTTAAATGATATAGATTCTCTTCACGACCACTCCCTCGTTTTCGAATTTAGACAAACGCGTCTTCAGGCCAGCCATTTCTTCATTCACTGCTTTATGACTTTGCACGTTCTCGCTGATACTGGTCTGAAGGGTGTCATTTGAGCTTGAAGCTCCATGTTCTGTGCGTTCATTTTTTCCAAAGCATCCTCCGATTTCTTTAGAATGAGAACGGTAGCCTTCTGACCATCCTCAGCACATTTCAGAGCCCTCTTCAGCTCATCCACTTCAGTCATGAGCTTAGCCTTCTCCGCACTCTTTTCGCGCAGCTCCAGCATGGCCTGTTCTCCCGCTTCCTTCAAAGTAGCCACCTCTACTTCCCTCGCCCTGCAGCAGTTCTTCTCTCAATGCCGCTACCGCCTCGTGCTCTTGTAATGCCTCAGTCACTGAATCTTTGCTTACTGTCAGTCGGATAATTTCAGCATCTCTCTCCGCAATCTTTTGCTCCAGCTCGCATTTGGCCTTTTCAAACATTTGTTTATCTAGCAAATGCTGCTGTATTTCCTCTTTGGTGGCCGACTCTGTCTCTTTTACCAACAAAGCAGCTTCTCCTTCCTTCTGTCGCAGCTTCTCCTGCAGCTCATCCCTCGCTGATTTCAAAGAAGTAGCCTCCAGCTCCTTCTCCAGCAGTTGCTGTCGCAGCTCGTCTTTCAACGCCGTCAGTGAGGTCGCCTCTCTCTCCCAATTCTGCAGCTTCAAGAGCAGCTCTTGACCACCTGTTGACTCCTCTTGCAGTTTCTCTGCAAGCTCGTCTCTTGCTGATGTCAGGGAAGATGTCTCCTGCTCTTTCAGTTGCAGCTTCTTCAGCAGCTCATCTCTTGCTGATGTCAGGGAAGCAGCCTCTTGCTCCATCTCTTGCAGCCTGTTTTGCAACTCATTTTTAGCTGTCGCCAGTGTAGTCGCCTCCCTCTCCCACTCTTGTGATTTAAGTAGCAGCTCATCGCTAGCCGTCGACTCTTTCTCCCGCACTTTCTCCTGAAGGTTATCGTTTGCTGACAGCAAAGAAGTGGTTTCTTGCTCCTTCTGTTGCAGTTTCTCCAGCAACTCATCTCTTGCTGACGTCAGGGAAGCAGCCTCTTGCTCCATCTCTTGCAACCTGTGTTGCAACTCATCTCTAGCTGTCGCCAGTGCAGTCGCCTCCCTCTCCCACTCTTGTGATTTAAGTAGCAGCTCATCGCCAGCCGTCGACTCTTTCTCCTGCACTTTCTCCAGGAGCTCATCTCTAGCTGACAAAAGAGACGCCGCTTCCTGCTCCTTCTGCCGCAGTTTCTCCAGCAGCTCATCTCTGACTGACGTCAGGGAAGCAGCCTCCTTCCCCTGCAGCTTCAGTTTCTGGACCAGCTCATCCCTGGCCTGCTCGAGCAGACGGGCGTCCTGCTGGCTCTTCAGCAGCTGCTGGCCCAGCTCGTCGGCGGCGGCCGCCCGTGTCGTCGCATCAGCGTGCAGCCGCTGCACCTGGTCTGTAACGGAGGCCGGGCGGCCGTGAGTCAGCAGCGCCGCGCCCCAGGTGCGCCGTCGGCGCCGCCACAGGTGCCGCGCGTCACAGCCGCAGCTGCGGCCGCCAGCCGCGGCGCCGCCGCACCGAGCGCTGCCGCCCGGCCGCAGGGCGCGCTCGGGGTGGGACGACGGCCCGGCTGCACGGCCGCGCCGCCGCCGACGGGCACGACTGTGAGCGCCGCCTCCGGCGTTCGGGATCTGGGCACGCCAAGCACGGGAACAGGCAAGAACTCGCGGCGGACCGCTCGCGCCGGCAGCCGGGCTGGGGCCGCGGCCCTCGGCGTCAAGCGTCATTAGAGCCGATAGCGTATCGCCGCGTCCAAACACGATAGGCGCGTCGGTCGATTCATTAGGGCGCAGTAATCTGACCACAGGGCCCCGCCCGCCTGCCAGCGGTACTCGGGTATTCAGGAAAGCTTATCGTCAGCGTGCTCGGGAAGGCCCGCGCATCTGTCGGCGTACCCCCTTCTGATGCGTTCAGGTCACTGAGCGACCCCAACACGAAGCTTCGCCTACACTTCCAACTAGGTTTGATTAAGCTACTCGGCGGATCATTTTCGCTCCTTTGAAATGTAGCCAGCGCCCTCTGTGCTCTGGAGCGGCGGTTCTATGCCCTCGTAATGATGGGATGGAAACGGGAGGAAAACCGGAGCGTGCGTTCATTTCCGACTAAATCGCTCTTACCATTGGCCGCCTGGTTTTGAACGTCGAGTTCCTTGAGGCTGGCCAGCAGCTCGTCCTTCTCGACAACCAGCTCCTGCAGCCTGGCGCTGACGCTGTCCCTCTCAGCATACACATCTTGCAGGCTTTTGAGCAGCTGGTCGTTCTCAGCCGTCCGCTCCTGCAGGCTGGCACTGAGTGCCTCTCCCTCAGCAGTGATCTTCTGCAGACTGGTGAGCAGGTCCTCGTTCTCGGTGGCCAGCTGCTTCAGTCGGGCGCCGACCGCGTCCGCGTCGGGTCCGGCGGCCACCGGCTGAGCGGCGGCACCGCCGTCGGGCGCGTCACGCACCGCCTCGTCATCGCCCTGCGGCCGGTGACAGCGCCGTCAGCACCTGCCCCGTCCTCCCTCCCTCTCTCACCGCGACGGGGTGTCACGCTACTGAGAACTCCGAGGGGAGCACGCGTCATCGAAGCCTACGAACAGGAAGACACGCCGAGATAGGGACGCACGCCACTGAGCCGTCTAGAAACGGAAACAAATCACTCAGCCCTGCAAACAGGCAGACACGTCACTGAACCCTCTGGATAAGGAGGCATGTCACTCAGTCCCCTGGGCAGGTAAACACGTCACTGAGTCACCTGAACAGGGAAACACGACAATCGATACTCGACACAGGGATTCAGGTCACCGAGCTCTCCAGACAGGGAGGCATGTCACAAGGCCCGGGAAAAATGCGTCTGAGTCCGCTAGATCAGGAAGTAGCTATGTGCATGCTTTTGAACACTTGCTGCTTTTGCCGCTTTTGCTTTTGAACATAGACGGATGTCGGCATTGGACCGCATGCTCCAGTGTTTTGCTTTGGACATAGAATTCGATAGTAATTTGAACTGTGTGCCCACTCTTCCCTTACCTCCAATTAACAACTGAGGGAACGCAAATGGCCCCTCGCGTACAAAAACAGCACGCCACTGTGCACAAACGATAACAATCTGGATCACGTTTCAGTCTAAAACGTTAGAGAAACATAAACCCAAGGCCAGAGATCGAAAGCCAATAAAAGGCCTGCCGTCTCGGACGGCACGTGGCCGCGACAACACCGCCAGCTGTCGCCTGCCACACAGTGGCACCACTTGACGCAGCTGATATACTCCATCTGCATTTGCTGCCGAGCCTGGGCCGCACTGTCAGCTGATAAAACATGCGGGCTGCATTAATGGATACAGGTGTGCACCGGCTCACCGATCGATTGAGGCAGAGCGCCCGCTGGTCGGGACGGGGAGGGGGCCGCCCGCACGGTGCCCCGCCGCCCTCCCCTGGTACGGGCCGCGATATTGGTGCGGGAACGCATCACCTGGCGCACAGCGCTATCTTATCGAGGGCGACGGCGGCGGCGGCGGCGGCGGCGGGGCGACGAGCGTGTGGCCGCCGCCATCCGACGCCACGCCGACCCATGACGTCACGGCCCCTGGCGTCACAGCCCAACACCAGAGGGCGCCGGGCCTCGACGCGCCGACAGACCGGCCCGAGGATCACGTGCCACTGAGCGACGCCAACACCAAATGTGTGGGAAGGGCATGACAGAAAAATATACGTAAAAGCTGGGTGGCCCAAACACAAGCGTTTGTTTCGCAGTGCCCGGCACCGTGCTGCTCACCTGCCGCGAGCCTGCGGTGTCGGCCGAAGCCCTGAGCTGCTGCAGCTGCTGCTGGTGGCTGTCCTGCAGCGCCGACAGCTGCTCCTGGTGCCGGTCCACGGCCTGCTGCAGCTCCGCCTCCAGCTCCTGGCGAGAGGCGGCGCCCTGGTCAGGACCGTCGCGCCCGGCGGGCCTCGCCCAGGTCTGGTCCGCCCGGCCCGAATCAGCGGACTATCGGAGGTGCGGCGGCGGATACAAAGGCTCGGGCCACCGGCGGCATGCAATGGCCGCCAGGGACCACTGCAAAGGCGAGGTAATTCACCCCGTCCAGTAATCTGGGCGCCAAGGCCGGCATGTTAGGCCGCCACGAAAGCGTTCATCACGTGCCAGCGCTGCTCGTAAACATCTCAGGACGATAAAAGCTGCACTTCCACCTCACGCAACACGCAAGAAGAAAACAGACGGCGGCGCCTCTCGCCGGGGCTCGGCTGAGCGTGGGGCAGGGTGAGGCGCACCGGGGGAGGCCGCCAGGCTCCCGCACCCGCGCCCGCACCCCGCGGTGACGTCATCGGTACGGTCACCTGAGTCACCGGACCACAGTCACCCACGCCAGCCACCGGCGGAAAGGTCGGCGAGTCGGCTGACGTCGGGGCGGTGCCGGCGGGCCGGCGGCCGGGCGGCGACCGCCCGCCGCGCCGCCACGTCACGCGCGGCCGGGGGCGTACAGTGCGCTGACTCAGAGGTCGGGCTGCGGCGGAGCGACGTGGCCACGCGGTCCGGTCCGGCTCCGACGCGGCGCCGCGCCGACCCGACCCGACTCGACCCGGCTCGGCTCGGCCGGCCACCTCGGGAGCGCCGGCTCCCAGCGGCGGCACAGCCCGGCCGCTCCGGTCACGCCCGGGCTCGACGCGCTGACAGGCGCCGCCGCGGGTCGGCTGGGCCGAGACGGGCAACGCTCGGCGCCGCGGGCGACGGCGGGCCAACCTAAGAGCAGCCCCTCCCCAGTCTGGCACGGATGCGCGGCCCGTTAGTCAGTGGCGACTAACGAGAGTGCTTCCGAGCATGCCGGCCGAATCAGAAAAGGAGACGTTTTCCATCAGCACAATGCGCGGGGAGAATGCAACGAAGCGATGAAGCAACAAGTAAAAAGGCCGCTTTTTACACAACAGCGGAACAAAAAGACATAAAACTGGTCTTTTGGAACAGCCAAGCTAGTGAGGGGACACGCAGCCACCAAGTGTTGTCACAGCTCCACCTGGTGGGATGGCTGGAGGGAGGTTATCTGGAAGGCAGTCGGAAAGGCTAAGGGAACAAGCTTCAACTAAGGCCAACAATCTGCCGCCGGGTCAGTGGACGCGCGGTACTTTGCCACACTGCTGAACAATCGCTCAAATTTGAATAGAATTGATCCACGCGTGAAATGGCAGCGTAATTATAACGTCGCGGCGCCCGAGGCAATGTTTAGCCGAGTCCCAGAGTGCGTCATTAGCACAGCAGGTGCTGAAAGGGACGTAATGACTGCGACCGCACGGCTCGGATTTCAGGCAACCAACGAACGCTGAGAGGAGTGGATGCCTGCCTGGAGGGGGCGGGGGGGGGGGGGGGGGGCGTAATAATGTACGGGGGTGGAGGACAACCATCATTGTGACACATGACACATGGACGGAGAACACAGACTGATATACTCCGACAGTGGTGCGGGCAGATTAGAGGGAGGCCGCCGCGGCCACTGTCCCGAAAAGGTATCACATCCAGGGAGAGCCGGAGCTTCAGTGTGCGGGAAGAGAGCCAACATCTCTCCAGGGGGAACTGCAAGCTCTTTTGCGGTGACAACGACCACCGCATGGTGCGAGAACCCGCACAGTTCCACAGCGAGGGAGCGGACCACTTTCCGGAGGGGGGGGGGGGGGGGGGGAGGGGAGGGGAAGGGTGCGCCGCCGCGCTACGGGTCGACGGTCGAGGGTCGACGCTCCCGGCCGGAGGTTCACGAGGAAAAAGGCGGCGGCGGCGGCGGCGGCGGCGGCGGCGGCCGCACGGCCAGACAGACCTTCAGTCCGCCGCAATTTCTGGCGATTTTTGCAGCAAACCGGTCGGTCGGGTTGTCGGCTGTAGAAAAACGGCGGCCCGCCGCTGGGCGCGCCGTGACGTGACAAGGACAGGGAGGCTGGCGCCGCCGCCGGACCGCTGGCGGGCACGCGCCGCGCGTCCAACGGTCGCCGGTGCCGATCGGTTTCGCAACTCAATCTGGCCGGCCGTGCCAGCTCGGCCCGGCAACTGGAGTGTACAGCCGGCCGTGGGAGGGGATGCCAGCTGCGCTGGCCCCGGCCCGGACCGGCCCGGAGGCCGGCCGGCCCAGCCCCCGCCGCCACGCTTAGCTCCGCTGCGCCTGCGTTCCTCCCCCGTCAGTCCACCCACGCCGTCCGGTGCCTTGTGTGGCAGCACGGCGGCAGAGGAACGCCCGTCCAGCCGGCCATGGCGACCGCTGCCGGGCGAACGGCGAGCCGCCAGCGCCGAGCCTGCCACGTCGGCAAAGCTGTTTGGCACGGCGAGCTTGGTACACAGCCCCCGTGCCGACACTGGAGCCGAGCCGGCCCGGTCCGCCGCCGGCCGTGTGTGCCGCCCGGCGCACGCCGCCGCGCATGCTCCTGCGATGCGCACGGCGCGGTTGGCGGGGACACCGGCCGACGCCGGACCGCCGGCCGCTGGTCCGCGCGACGTGCGACGGCACACGTGCTGAGGCGCGCGGCGCTGCGGGCTGAGACTCGCTGCGTGTCCGCTTCGGAACCGCGCGGGCCGACCGGCTTACACCGGCGACGTGCCCTACGGCCCCTGATCTCCCACGAAGGGTACAGCGCAAATTAGCCCAAGTTTTCCAAACACCACGTGATGAGCGGATTGGAAGGCATTATGCATCTCGCCAGATACATGCCGACAAATGCGGTGCGTGATTTGTGGCTGGTAATTCCGATGGGACTAGAACAAAGACTGTGGAAGAACATGACGTTGATCCTCATGTGCCTGCCGGAAAGAGCATGGTTCAAGCACATGACACCTTGCAACGGAACGCCATCCGTCAACCGCGGAGGGTCGGTCCGAGCTCGACGGTGGGTCATGTGTCAATTACGCGTACCGGTGCCCCCTGACATGTGTCCGGAAAAGAGGACAAAGGGAGCACGCTGGCGGGCTGACATTTCGCGGCGGTCGCCGTGTCCTCCGCAGCCGGAGATGCCGAGCGTGCCACGTGGCCTGGTCCGAGACGGCAGCAGGCGGACGTGATACGGCGACGGCGTGATGTCGGCGTCAGGGTCCGGACGGGCCTGAGCCCAGGGTCCGGACGGCGCCGCGGGCCAAGCAGAGCCGCGGGGCGTGCCGGCGGGTGACAACACCAGGCAGGCGGGGGCTGCGCCGGTCGACGCTGCCCCCCTCCCCCCTCGCCCTCGAGGCAAGGCGTCCGGCTCTCCAGCCGTACCCGCGACTTTGCCCGCGGAGCCGCGTCAAATGCTGAGCTCCTTTCGCCACGGGTGGGCCGCGGCACGCCTCGGACCGCGTGAAGTGGCGCCCCCCCCCCCCCCTCCCTGCATGCGGGGCGCCGGCGCAGGGGCGCGCGCTGCACCAGCCGCCGGCTCGGCCCCGAGCGTGATGGCACGTTTTGTCGGCGCACGTGCCGCAGCTCGTGGCCCAAAGCGCACGGACGTGCCAGTCAGCCCGCACCATTGTCCGCGCACAGGTAAACGGGCGTACAGCATTGTCGCTGGTGTTTGGGACCAGGAACGCAGCGCCACCGGCAAACCCCCGCCACCGCGGCCATTGTGGCGCGACGGCTGTCAGAGGACGCGACGTGCGCCCGTCCGCGTGCCGGCGGCGCCCGCCCGCCGGCCGAGACCGGCCGACTGTCTCGCCGCCGGCCGCGGCTCCGTCCACAGCGCGCGAGCGGCCGGCCGAGCGACGCGCGGCGTGCTGGATCGCGGAGCAGAGGTCGGCACCGCCGGCATCCGGTCCCTCACCGGCCGCGGCGCCGCCCAACAGCGGCCGTGAGCTGCTATCCCGAGACTCTCCCGAAATACGTCACGTCAGCAGCAGAGGCGCGATCATAAGGCGCGATCATACCCGGCAACTCTACCGAGGCTTGGCACCGACAGGCTTAATCCGCAATTGATTAATTGCACTGTGCATTGGCCTGCTCCAGCGCTACCTCAATGCTCACAAAAATACCAAGACTCCACCAGAGTAATTTTCAACAGCCCGATCCCATTAATGCCAACGGGAGATGCGTCACGGAAAGTAACCGTCGTGTCGGTGACAAACACCGCGACAGATTACCAAGAGCCGGCAGCCACTAATACCCGTGTGACGTTAACTTTTCCATACCTTGTATCTGGCTTTTAAAATTGCGTAGAGCATGCGATGTTTCAACCCAAGATCCGACACTCCGCAAGCATTTAACAAAAACCAGCATAGCGCAGCATTCAGCCCCGAGATCCGAGGAGTGTTGCCCTGCGGCGGACGTGACGTCACAGGTTGCCCCGCTTACCTGGACTCTGGCCTGCAGCCGGCCGCGGTCGGGAACGCCATGGTGGTCGGGCTCCGCCTGGAACACGACAGGAGCGGCCGGTCAGTCGCGCCGCGCCACCGCACGCCGCAGATCGTACGGATGTGTGTCGGCGGCGGGCGAGGCGCTGCGTCACCGACCTCACATGCGGCACCGCCGGCCGGACGGGCGCGCCGGCTCCCGGCACTCATTCCGCACACTCCCCGGACACGGCACCGTCCGTCGGACGGGCGCGCCGGCCCCCGGCACTCACTCCGCGCCCTCCTTGGCACACTGCATCAAGACACGGCCCGGAGCCAGGCACACTCACACAGACACAGCCCGGCGGACGACACAGTCCCCCCAGACACGGCCCGGCGGACGGCCACACTCCCTCGGACACGGCCCGGCGGACGGCACAGTCCTCCCAGACACGGCCCGGCGGACGACACACTCCCTCGGACACGGCCCGGCGGACGGCACAGTCCTCCCAGACACGGCCCGGCGGACGACACACTCCCTCGGACACGGCCCGGCGGACGGCGACAGGACGACGGCTCTCGTGGGCGGACCCGTCCCCGGTCCGTGCCCCCCCCCCCCCCCTCCAGCCGGCCGCCGGTCGGGGCGGCACCGTCACGAGCCGGTGGCCGGTCACGGTGGGGCCCACAGACGTCGCGGCCGGAACTGCCAGCACGCCCCGGCGGGGCAGCGCCTCACAATAGCTGCCGCCGGTGCCCAGGAGAGCATCCGCCGCACCTGAACAGCGAAAACTTCAGGTGGCGTCGAGGGCAATCCGCCGTGGGAGTCGCACTGGCCATTCGATGCCGGCCGGACAAAAACGTCATTGCGGTGTCACAAGTCTGCGCCCTAAGCCAGGGAATGCTCTGGACCAGTTTGGTCGGTGTATGAATTAGGGTCTACGCCTCGTTAGTTGGAAAATGTCCGTTTTCAGATCAGGTATATCCGTGCGATGAGCAATTTGGTTAACATCCTGAATGGACATGATAACTGAGTATATACTACAATGAAATACCCATTCAGATGCTGCTTTCCACAGCAGGAAACTATGACACACGCTTTCAAACGTGTGCAAGTCAAGACCACCTCCCCCGGGCTATGTACATTGCAAGTCGCTCACAGATTCCTCACTGATAACGTCACTAGATTCCAACGCTGGGACACCGGAACTCACTTAAAGATGTGGGGGGGGGGGGGGGGCAACGACAACTCTTGAGCAATATTCCTTGTCACGTAACACAAAAGTGTTCATGATAAAAAGGACAGATGGAATGGGAACACTGCGTTTTCCATAATTCTGCACGGTACTAGTCACAGCTTGGCTACGGTGCCCTTCATGAACTGCATACAGGCCATAGGCAGCCGCACCGCCGACACAACGCCGGCTCCAACAATGCTCGCTGCGGAGGAGCCGGCGGCCGCAGCCGGAGCCGGAGCCCCAGCTGGTGCCGGTGAAGGGGACGGCGGCGGCCGTGGCCGGCCATGGCGCCGCGTGCGGCGTGCGGCGTGCGGCGTGCGGTGTGCGCGTGTTTTCAGCCGGCACGTCGGTCGACGGCGGCGTTTTTCCCCGGCAGACGGCTGATCCCATAATGAGGGGTATCGGCTGACACGTCCGTGTACGGGCGTGAACGGGCGGCCGGCCGCACGTGAGCGCACATACGCCGTGCGCCGTGCCGCCCCACCGCATTGTGCTCCGGGGCCAGCAGCGGCAGGTCCGGGGCTGGCGGTGCCAGCACTGCAGCGAGACGGCGGCAGCGACAGGGGAAGGACCGCGACCTGGGCGGAAACAGAAGCAGGGGCGAGCCCCGGCTCCGGGCACGACCGCGGCCGGCTCGCTGCAGCAGTACTGAGTCAGGGCAGCAGGCTGGAGCCAGCAAGCTGCCAATCCTTTTCGATGCCGATATCGAAAAAGGGAGTTTATGTATCCTGACCTTAGCCCAGTTTGGAAAAAACATTGGTGAATATTGCAACTTTGCGCAGGAAGAAAAGGCTGCGGCCCTCCATTGTGGAAACGTCCCTACGCGCATGCTGTTGAGGGCTGTTCTCGAGCTGGTATGATCATGCAGTGACCCAATTCGGTACCAACTCATAAATGAACGAAACTGGGACATAAACGGGAACAGCCCCTCGTTTGTCGCCAGCTCTGTCAAAACATCCGGTCAAGTTTTATGTGTAAACATTTTTTTGTCATAATGCACTTATTCGTTATTTCATGTACGCCGAGCTGACTCCACGGGACCATGTCATTCACTGCCATGAACCTGAACTGACAACTAAATGCATGGCGACGAAGCAAAAGCGCTTCCACAGTAAGATTTACCGGCTTTTTTGATGGACTTCATGTCATTTCATTGGTTTCGCGCATCTATCCTGTTTTTCGTGCAGTTTACATTTGGTGTCAAATAATGACCTCTTTGTATTCATATAGGCTCGTAAAAGGCTGAAGGACACAAACCCAGCCCTTCAAAAGCGTCGAGACAACGCTTGCAGAATTTGACAAGTCCGCAGAGACAATCTCACACGGGGTATGGATGCGCGCAACGAGGCCCAAACCCTCCCAATCGGACAACTACGAGAATCGCCGAGAGGACAGCTGCCGCCGCCTGTCGACAGCACACCAACGTCACGTCAGAGCCGGGAGCGGCCAGAGCAGCTGCGCCACAATCGCAGACAATGGGGCTGCCATCGGCGCATACCGGCGCCCGATCGACTTACTGGACACGGCCGGCTCGCGCTGCCCGTCGGTGGTGGGCGGCGATCAACCGGGCCCGGCTGGCTGGCACTGGCCCGTCACACCCGCCGGGAGCGGCGCCACCGCCCCGGCGCGCCGTCCGCCAGCGCCTCTCCGGGCCCGGAGACGGCGCGGCACTGCGGCGGCGGCCGGCGCTCGCCGTGCAGCGCAGAAGGAAAACGGGTTCGCAGGTGACGCAACGCCTGTCGAGGAAGCCGGCCGCCAGGAAGCTACCCCACGGGCGAATGGCGACCCCGGCGCCCCGGCCGTCGAGCGCCGCCCCCGCTCCGGCGGCCGACCGGCGCCTCTGAGAGCGGTGTGCCGGCGTAGCCCGAGCGGCGCCGGACGGCACTCCGGACCGGGCCGGACGGCACTCGAGCTGCGCCGTCTGCTCGGCGGGGCAGTGAGCGGACGTAACCCCGGCCGCGCCGGGGCGAGCCTCGCGGCGCCGCGGGCCGAGACGGGACCGCCGGCCGGCCGGCGAGCCCACGCCGGCGGCACGCGGACGCGATCCGCTCCACATGCCGACCAACAGGGAAAGTCGCCACCTCGCCAGGAAAAGACTGGCCGGGAGACTGGGCCGCTGCATTCTGCAGCCGCCCGACGTGCAGCGGCCGCTGCCAATCTCGCGGGACGCGCTCGCGGCCGACCTGATGCGGTCCGTCGGCCGGGCCGCCCCCCCCCCCCCCGCAGGATTAACACTGTCCGTACCACACGGCTCCGGTGAAGACCTGCCCCGGCAGCCGTCGAGCTGACCGTCGCCCCGAGCTGAGCGCTCAGAGGCCGAGGGCGAGGGTGTGCTGAACGATCTCCAATCGGGCAATATCCATCTCGAAGCAAGCTTTAGCACACAATCCGATTTCGACCGAGCGGATTGGTTTTGAGGCGCGTCCGAGTCGACCGCGGGGGGGGCCATTTCCAATGGGAACGACGTGCAGGCGGTTCTCAATCCGACTGCTCGCGTGTCCAGTTTGATGGCGTGCGCAGAGCACATGCCGACAAATGGTCGCAAACACACAGAACGGTTCGCCACAAAAAAGCGACGCTAACATTTCAATTATGCAATCGAGTCCCGGCTCCGCTCTCACCACGTTGTGACATCCTGCACACAAGCCTGAGTCCGCCGGGAAGTCGCGAATGTCAGCCACGCGACCTCGCAGAAGGCGTTTCAGATTTAAGGTCTCTATCCCACTACTTTTTGCGGGTTATATAACACACCCTGATGCCTTCCCTGGTTCAGTTCATATAAGGTTCCGACGTCAACAGAGCTGGTAGCCTCGGAAACGGCACCCCACATGTACTCAGAGCTAGGCAACCGACAGAAGGCACCATACACCACAACGCCAAACCGCGCTAAAACCGACATTCCAGCCCGGCCGCCATTACCGTTTGCAGAGCGAGTATCGTGTCCTATCGTGGCGGCGTGGCCTAGTCTGGCCTGGGCCGTCCTATCGCGGCGACGTGGCCTGGCTAGCTCCCGCTCTGGCGGCGCCACGTATGGCCGTCGGCCGGCGCACTCCCCCTCTGCTGGCGTCTCACACTGGCGGCCCAGGTGTGCGCCCCCCCCCCCCCCCCCCCCTCCCGCTCCGTCGCTCCGATAGCGGTTCGACGGCGATAAATGTTTGCCGAAAACACGCCACGTCGCCGGCCCGTCTGCGCGTCACGTGTCGGCGGTCCACACGGCCCGCAAACAGCGGCATGCCGCGGCGACGTACCGCAGCGGCACCGCACCGGCTCCGGCAGCGCGCCGCTCCGACTCGGTAACCATCCGGTGCCGCTTGCGGCACCGGTAACCATGCGGTGCCACTCCGGCGCCGTAACCATCCGGTGCCGCCCCGACTCCGGTAAACCATCTGGTGCCGCTCCGACGCCGGTTACCATCCGGTGCCGCTGCGACTCCGGTAACCATACGGTGCCACTCTGACTCCCGTAACCATCTGGTGCCGCTCCGACGCCGGTAACCATCCGGTGCCGCTGCGACTCCGGTAACCATTTGGTGCCACTCATGACTTCGGTAACCATTTGGTGCCGCTCTGACTCCGGTAACCATCCGGTGCCGCTACGACTCCGGTAGCCATCCGGTGCCACTCTGACACCGGTAACCGTCCGGTGCCACTCTGACTCCAGTAACCATCCGGTGCCGCTCCGACTCCGGTAACCATACGGTGCCGCTCCGACTCGGTAACCATCCGGTGCCACTCCGACTCCGGTAACCATCCGGTGTCGCTCTGACTCGGTAACCATCCGGTGCCACTCTGACTCCGGTAACCGTCCGGTGCCACTCTGACTCCAATAACCATCCGGTGCCACTCCGACTCCCGTAACCATCCGGTTGCCGCTCCGACTCGGTAACCAGCCGATGCCGCTCTGACTCCGGTTGCTGAAACAGCCGGGCGCGGGAAGCGGCGGCCGCGGCGGTCATGGCAGCTGCTGCCGCCGCGGCAGCCACGCCTGGCGCTGGCCTGGCCCGCAGCACAGCCGCCGACGTCGCGGCCCGAGGCCAGCGCGTGATTGTAGCGTCCAAGGGCGGCGCCGCTGCGCACAACGCACTCCCATCGCTCCGGCGCCAGAATCTGGTATCCTCGCATTGTTCGCGAGCATACGGCGCGCGCCGGCTGAAGCTTGTGCCAACAGGCTCCCGCTGCGAGCAGCAGGTCCATTTCCCAGCCGAAGGGCGTCGCTGCCTGCCTCACGAGGTGCACGCCACAGCGTCACGAAAGCCGGCTGATTGGCCCGAGGCAGGGCCGCAGAATTCAGCCGCACAGTGCAAGGGCATCTCTCCAGTCAACGGCCGCATAAGCCGTTTTCAAAAACCCGATAGCAATCGCGGAAAAGCCCCCGCTCCGGCCTGCACAAAGCCGGAGCCTGGGAACGACACGTTTCAGATTCGCCAGCTATGCCGGCGCAACGGCCGCCTCCAGCTCAGACCACGTCCCATGCAACGATTTCGCCGTCAAGCGGATGAAATGTGCGGCGGTCCATTCCGATCGGAAGAAAACTTTGGCAGTGAGGACGGCGTCCCTGAGGGGCGCCAGTCTCGGATGCCCAACGGACGCGCCGATGGGGACACGTGCGCGCTGCGCCCGTGCCGCGGCGGAGACGAGCGGGCCGCGCCGGCAGCTGGGACCGGCACACCTGGGCGCCACAAGACACGCATTCCGGATCGATAATGGCGCCGAGACGCGGCAGTCTCGCCGGTCGAGGTGCACGCGGGTGACGTCACGTGCCAGACGCCCCCGACCGCGGTCGCGTGGCGCTGCGTCTCGATGCTGAGGGCGATTTCGGAGCATGTATGACCGCAATGACGCCGATCAGTGGAGCCAACGGGGGAGGTGGCAGGCCGGACACGAAGCGATGGCTGGCATGGCAATACCAAGGGGCGGTACGGTCGAACATGGAATTCAAGCTTTCGTACCAACGCCATGCAATTTCACAACGCTCTGGCAAGTGGACAGTCTACGTTGCGAAACAGGAAACAGACGAGATGCCTGACGAGACGCCGTCTGCGCCTGCCCATAGCCGTGCACCGGTTCGTACCTGGCTAACGGGCTGGTATTGCACTGCGTCCCCCCACCCCCCTGCCACCAGTGAGAGGGAGCACAAAGCGAATGACAACTTATATTGAAAGTATCGTAAAAAACAACAATCGCCGAGTCCTCACGCAGGGTGAATTGTGAAAACAGCGGCGACAACAATGAACGCGTTAGGCTACGGTGAGCAGCAGCGCTAGATCCAACATAAATCCGACAACTGCGGCCAATCCGCCAGGATCCCACCAATGGAGGCCGGTCCGCCGGGCTCCGACAGCAGACCCCGGCGTGCTAGCGGGCCGCCGGGTTCGCGGCCGCCGCGCCGGTTTTTGCCGCCAGGCCGTCGGCCGGACGTGGTGGGGCGGCCGTCACACGTGTTTGCCGTACGTGGCGCGACGGCCGTCACACGTGTTTGTGGGGTCGGAG